TTTTTTTTTTTTTTAATAATTACGGAGGACACTAAAGGACACACGAAAAAATATTAAGATTGATCCGAAAAGTATTCAATATATCTACAATGCCATTGGGAAGAAAATTTATCCATCCAGAACATTTAATTATTTTCGATTTTTCTTGGAAGTTATAGGTAGTAGATAGTATGGAATTAATGAAATATTCACGGTTGAAACAATATTAAATCTTACTTTCCTGGATCGCGTACGCTCCTTCCTCTCTGGGTAACGTCTTAACGCCGAACAGTCCATCGGAGATACCGAGCCACATGGATAGATTCTCATGCGCTATCCTTTTTAGCGTCGATTAGTCGAGGACATCCCAGCTGAAAAGCTGTGTGGGCTGTGGAGTCCACAGAAGGGCACAAAGCCAGACTAAGTTTAGCACAAAATGCACGGCAGTTGAGAGTTGAAACAGACTTTTCATAAAAAAAAAAAACCAATTTCCCCCCCCCCCCCCAAATCTTGTGGTCTGTGAGTTCGAGATGTGGCCGTGCAGAGAAGCCCTGCAGTACTAGTTTAAAGCCGCTGCCAATCAGATGCCCAGATTGGCAGCCTGCATCACAGTTCAGCTGAGGAGGTACAAAGTGATCCACAGTGAAAACCAGATAAGGTAGGTCTTGTTTGTGCTATGGTTCAACTGTCTGTCCTAGTATGTACGCTTTCTCCAAACAGCCTGGTTTGACATTAGAGATCGTCGTTGATTATGAAGTGTGTGATGTTACCGTCTGTCCGATGCAAGGCGATCGACTCGACAATTTTTTTTTTTTTTTGTTTTACTCTTTTGGGTTGCCGATTTCTCGGGATTTGCTTCATTCTCTTTGTGCTCGACCTGGTTCGGAGTTCTCCTACGCAAGGAATTCTTCCTCAACATATTTTTACCCTTTCCAGGAACCCGAGGTTCGTGACTTGGAGTCTCGAATGTTGTTATGTATCTTCCTTTCCACCCTACTGTGTTCAGACTTGTGTAGTTGGGGGGCTAAGAATTTTACAGATTAAGAAGTATCTTCCCCTGGAATCTATGACAGTACTCTCGACTAATCTGATGATTCTGGATGGCTATGGAGCTCGTACATCATTCAAACGGACACTCCGGGCACTCTGGCATCATGAATTCAGTCTAAAATAGATAGATCATGTGCACTGACCCATTCGGTAGATATAATTTCTGATGCTTGACATGTTCTCATCTTTAAAATCGGTCAGTTCTTCATTGCATGCGATGGATTACCTATTGAGTCGTGCTACGTCACGGACCACCGTCGTGGTTCCAATACCACCTATGGGCATCGTAGTCTTAACGATTGTAACCTGAGTGCCCATGATCCCTCCTAGGGCCAGCCAAGAGAGGCGAGATGACGCTTGTCCACATTCCTTGACTATCACCCGGACTTTCGGCTATCCAAGCATTTCACCACTCACTATTGAGGGATCTCAGAGCCGCGAGGAAATATCCTGGTCGTCGAAGAAAGGGAGCCCTTCCGTGATATCGATCTATCCTTCTGACAGTTTACACGATTCAGGTACTCATCATATGAGGTAGTATCAATACTTCGGATGAACCATCCCGCTGCAACTCAGCTATACGGCGAGAGAGCCGCGTGCAGAGCGACAGGGGAATGCCGCAGTCACATGGACATGAGGAACTACGAACATCCAAGAATCAGTAGAGAAATTAAAAGGTCAGGCAGGGAATGACTACGCCACCAAAGACTTTTGTGTTGGTTTCCAAAGGTCGTGCAAACGGGTGCCCCGAGTCTGTAACAGACTGGAATTGAATCTATATAAAGATGTTATAATTTCTTTTCTTCATCGAAAACAAAGTGTCTTAGCCATTGTATCCATCCTCGTGTCATCCTTTAGCCACAGTCAGTGACAGCTCGTCAGCCACAACCATCTCACTCGCCACACCCCACATCCTTGCACCGCCGCAAGTTAACCCTGAACCAATAAACTCTCAGCCTTGTTGTTATTTTGGGTATCCGGCCCGCGTCATAAGTTGGTCCTAAGGCAGGTACGACCCAGGCCATCAGGCTGCAGTGTATTTTCAGGAGGAGCACTCAATTTAAATACCAACTATATACCTCGGTGAGTATGACACCTTCTCAACTTATCCACTGTTTTGCATTTCTTGGCATTCTTTTGGCTCTTCTTCTTTCTCGATACCGGAGTGATACCTCTATTCTAATTCCATCTACCCCTCCAGCCATGTCTTCCGGGCTAAAGTCTGTTGCATATTTCGTCAATTGGGTAAGCTGGCACCCCGAGTGAGCTTCCTTCCAGAGGTATTAATTGATAAAGGCGATCTACGGGCGCAACCACAACCCCCAGGATCTCCCTGCAGATAAATTGACCCATATCCTTTATGCGTTCGCCAATGTCCGACCCGAGTCCGGAGAAGTGTATCTGACAGACACCTGGTCCGACATCGAGAAACATTACCCAACGGACTCCTGGAACGATGTCGGCACTAATGTCTACGGATGCATCAAGCAGCTGTTCTTGCTCAAACAGCAGAATAGGCAACTGAAAGTGCTGCTGTCAATCGGTGGATGGACCTACTCGGCCAATTTTGCCCAGCCAGCAAGCACGGAGGCCGGACGCACTAGGTTCGCTGAAACTGCCACGAGGCTGGTATTGGACCTTGGTCTTGATGGTAAGTTGCATCGATAGATTTGAGTGTATTTCGCCATCTGTTAACGTGAAAAAAAAAAAGGTTTTGATATCGACTGGGAGTATCCTAAAGGTAAGCAAATGCACGAAGACGGCCGCAGGGAAGCTTGCTAACAGGCCATCTAGACGACTACGAGGCATATAACTTTGTGCTGCTTTTGCAGAAGTGTCGTGAGGTGAGTTGATCTCTATTTTCGTTCTTCCTCGGTGCTGACACAGTGTAGACCCTGGACAGAGCAGCTGGCCCATATCGGAAGTTCTACTTGACCATTGCCTGCCCAGCAGGTAAGGAACATTACTCAAAGCTCAGGCTTCGTGAAATGACACCATATCTGGACTTCTACAACTTAATGGCCTATGACTATGCTGGCAGCTGGGACAGTGTTGCGGGCCATCAAGCAAATATCTATCCTTCTCCTGACAGGCCAGGCTCGACCCCATTTTCAACGGTCGACGCACTTACATATTATGAGACGGCGGGTCTTGTGCCACGCTCTAAGATAGTTGTTGGTATGCCCATCTATGGACGTGCTTTCACTAATACCGATGGCCCTGGTACGAGTTTCTCCGGCGTGGGTGAAGGTAGCTGGGAGAACGGGGTTTGGGACTACAAGGCACTTCCCAGACCAGGTGCAACGGAGTATGTTGATCCCAGTATCGGTGCATCGTGGAGCTATGACCCTGCAACCCGCACGATGGTCTCGTACGACAATGTGCGCATGAGTGAGACCAAAGCAACTTTCATCAGGCATCATGGACTAGCTGGCGGGATGTGGTGGGAGACTAGCGCTGATAAAGGAGGCAAGACTGCCAACAAAGCTGATGGTAGCTTGATCGGAACCTTCGTGGAGGGCGTTGGAGGACCGGCCGCCTTGGATCAGACCCCGAATGCACTTGAATACCCGGAAAGCAAGTACGACAACCTGCGAGCCGGTTTCGCTTAGACCCAAGTTTGAGATACCCCCCTATGTTTTAACATCGTCTTATTTTGTGTGGATTTGCGTGTTCTTGCCGTAGTTGAGAATGCATACATATATCCTCTACGAGTTGCTAGATTTAGATCCAAGCCAAGGGGCGAGTGTTTCAAATTTTTATTTCATTTTCAAGGCTCCTCCTATCGAACTAGGGTAACCTATGCACCTCAGCCGAAGATCCACCAATCTAGATTCACCGAAATTGCCCTAGATAAACACCATACGCATCACCGGTAGCAAGAAAGGCGGAGCGATCTGAGATTAGATCGCTTATTTGGACTCGTCGAAGACGTAGGTGAGGTGGCACTTGCCACAGTACTGGCGGTTGTGCATAGCAGCCATGAAGACACCGGCACCACACTATAGAGTCATTAGTCATTTTGCCACACCAATCTCAGATGGGTATCCCAAGAACAACGTACCTCGGGGGCGGGGCACTCGCGGCGGAGACGCTCGATCTTGCCATCACCGTCGACCTTGTAGTACTTGAGGACGGCAAGCTTGGTCTTCTTGCGCTTGTGCTTGATCTTCTTGGGGGTGGTGTAGACCTTCTTCTTACGCTTCTTACCACCACCACGCAGGCGGAGCACGAGGTGAAGGGTGGACTCCTTCTGGATGTTGTAGTCAGAAAGAGTACGGCCGTCCTCGAGCTGCTTGCCAGCGAAGATCAGACGCTGCTGGTCAGGGGGGATTCCCTCCTTGTCTATATGCTGTATCAGTACACTGATCTTGTATCTCGTTTGCGAAATAGTGAGAGAGAAAAAAAAAAGACAGATGCTTACCCTGGATCTTGGACTTGACATTGTCGATGGTGTCCGAGGACTCCACCTCAAGGGTGATAGTCTTACCCGTGAGGGTCTTGACGAAGATCTGCATCTTGATGAAGGCCTGATATCATGAAAATGTTAGTTTGAGACACATTTTATGGTGACGAATGTTGGATGCATAGGCGCAAGTGTCGTCGATCATTTTTGCCTCGTTTCTCTTCCTTTGTCCATTTCGCACAGTTCAGCTGGAGGGATTGCTGGGAGGAGAAAGAGAGACAAAAGTAATTCAAGCGACTGCGATCCCATATCCATCATCGCAGGGTACAGGGTCATCACTAACCTCGACAAGACTTGTCTTCCTCAACCTTCGTTGCGATCGTGTGGAAAATATGTAGAGTGGAGGGTCTTAGTGCGTTAAAATCGGTTGTGTGATCACGTGGAGCACACTTTTGCCGGATTGGCCCTAGCGTGGAGAATCTCGGATAATCAGGCTCTCCGGGTCCTCATCTTTTTTCACTAAGTCAGGTGACGGGTCGAAGGTTCGAAGTCACGAGATTCGAAGCGGGATGCTTACATCACACTTGAATGCCTGGAAGCGAAGGCCACCAAATGATCGACCCGTCTTGGGACCACCCGCTCGATCCAGATTGGAAGACGCTCGAATTCAATCGTCATCATCCCTTCACCAGTTGCTAATTATTGATCAAATGGTTTCATGATTGGCGTCAATTATTATCCAAGCTATTGCAAAGGAAGGGAGTATCATGAAGCGATAGTGTCTTGAACCCTCACAGGCGACAGGGTCTATTTTCTTCAATCCGAGGAGGCGACATCGATAACTAATATAGGGTGTTTGTCTGGACCGCGAGGGGGAACCAGAAACGAGCTCCTTACAGGAGTAACTAACCTGCCGGATCGCAGCCTTAATTGCGTTCGGGCCACTTTTTTGTTCGATATTCTCCGTGCTCGAACCAAGGCGCAGCGCCGGCGATCCACTCAGCAGTGCAAATGGACGGCCCCATGCCAAGGGCGCTGGTTTCCCTGACGCCTCAACCCGGGTGCGTTGCTGGGCCAACAGCACCATTGTTGATCTGAACCGTGGGCGATAGATCGGGATAGCTTCAGCTTCTCCATCCACCTTTCCCTGGTTCCCACCTCTAAATACTTCCTCTTGCCCTTGGTCCTCTTCTCTCAGAACCAGAGGTCCAGGAATCGCGCAGGGAAGCTTTACTAAAGCTTCAATCCCGTTGTCGCATTAGTTTCAGATCTAGCCGGAAGAGCGACATAGTTCTTTTTCATCTGACCTTTCTCTCCTTCTAACCCTTTCTTTCCCTTATCCGTCTTCTTGGTTGAAGAGTTCACCGACTGACACAGTGGACAGGTCGGTTTGATACCATCTATCGTACGACTAGCGCTGCGTGAGGTATGCATACCAGGGTTTTATGCAATATGCGCAACGGTTTCCGGAAGACTTACATATAGAATTAGATCTGTCAATTGCCCGCCACCGATTTGTGACGAGTGGCTTATAGACTTTGCCCACCATGTTATCGAACCCACATCGGAATCAACAGGAACGACATCGACAACATCGGCGGCAGATCTCAACACCCTCCGCTCTTGATGCCGCCAAAGTTCCCAGTCTTCCTGCCCAGGCAATGCACCGATATCATGCTCATCGTCGCGGCCAGAGTCTAGACCAGAGATCTCTACACATGCAACGATCGCAGACCGTGCAAGGTGGTAACCTCTTAAATACTAACGCAACAGGTCCCCTGGTAATGCAACAGCAACACTATGCTCGTTCGGCGCAACCGACACCCATGCCCATGATGCCTGAGTGCCAGACGTTCAGTCATGAAGAATTGCAAACCCAACCAAGTATGGGATACATGAGCCCAGCCTTCGCCAAGGCCGAGACCCCGGCGCTGGAAAGTCGGCCGATGAACCTCCATCTCAATCTGATCCAGCAACAGCAGTTGCAGCAAGCACAGCTCATGGAGAATAGCGCTTGGGATTTCTACCCACGCGACAATCTCCCAACGGGACTTCCGCACCATGCCAACGCAGTTCCTGCAGATATGAGACGACTATCAGTGCAATCGGATGTCAGTCCCGCGCAAAGACCGCATACGCCGAAACCTACGCGTAAGTGCCCTGATATTAGTCACAGGAGACAATCCCCACTGATGAAACTTCAAGACTACCTGCCCATTACCCCTGCGACAACACCATTCAAAAGAACAGTGGATCTTGCGCAGTATGGTGGCGACATGCAGCCAACCCCTACCAAGGAGCAGAGATTGTCTGTTCCCGTTTCAGCCCAGCCGTCGTACATGCAACGTGCTAAGTCTCTCCAAGGAGTGGCTGGGACGACCTTCTCCCAGCAAAAGATTGATATGCCCTCTCCCCCAAATACAGCATCCTTCGAGGTAGAAAGTTTCGATGTGTTTGACTGCCAGCAGGGTTCCAGTTTCGAAATTTCAAAGTCTGAAAGTTTTTCATCTAACCACTCTTCAACGTCGTCGTCAGCAACATCCCCTTTCAATTCCTCACCCGACCTTGCCTCCATGCCGCACCTTGCAGACAGTGGTAAGGCGCAGAAGATTCCTATTTATCGTGCAACACCTAGCCGTATGACCCCAAAGAAGACCCCAAGTGCACCCCCTAGCTCGGCCAAACCCAAGCTTTCTCCAAGGGTAGCATCTATCGACAGCCTCAATCTTGACGCCAGGGTCCATGCCTCTATCAAAGAAACCGGTGTCACTATTGACGAGATAGCATCATACATCCATGGTCCTGACCCAGAAGATGGAAAATGGGTATGTCTACACCCCGGTTGCGAACGCCGGTTTGGAAGGAAAGAGAACATCAAGTCTCATGTCCAAACACACCTTGGAGATCGTCAATACAAGTGTGATCACTGCGATAAATGCTTCGTCCGCGGACACGATCTTAAGCGCCACGCCAAAATACACACCGGTGACAAACCATATGAATGTCTCTGCGGCAATGTGTTCGCCCGACATGATGCCTTGACTCGGCATCGGCAACGAGGCATGTGCATTGGCGGCTACAAGGGTGTTGTGCGCAAGACCACTAAACGCGGTCGTCCGAGAAAGCATCGACCTGAAATGGATGAGAGACAAGATAAGTCCTCCAGGACGCGCCAGAGAATCGCTGAAAAGTCATCGTTTGATTCTTCTGGATCAGACACTTCGCGCAATTCGCCGCCCTCGGAAGTCTTCGAAAACATGAGCCTGCAGGGTTCTAGTCCGGTGGGGGAGATGCCAATGTTCAGCAATGTTAATTACTCATTGCCCCCTGAGGTCCTGACTTTCACACCTCCCGCCTCTCCTGGGGGTAGCATAAGAAACAGACCATCACCTGCCCACAGTCAGCGATCAATTACCCCAAGCACGGAGGATGAAATGCCACCCTTGTCTCCATCCAAACGACCTCTTGAAAGGATCATTGAAGAGTCCGGTCTACCTCTAATTTCGGACCCTGAAGTCTGCCCCTACACGAACACTACAAGCTCAACAACTCATGCCCTATCTTCCCCACACACCGCCCCCACTTTGATCGACTCATCAAATGGCTCAGACCTAGACATTTTCATCAACCAAGACCCATCTACAAGCTTCAGCAAGCACGAGTTCCCTGGCTTGACTGACCCTGACATGGCGGCATTCCCTGATTATGTGAACGGTCCCTCTTTTGATAACGGCATGGATTTGTTTCAAGGCAAAGGCTTCTCCAGCGGTCCCTCAATGGGTGACGATTTCTTTTCTTTCCAATTCCAAATGGACGAACAACCCTCGGACGTTATGACGAGGGAATTCTTCTTGGAGTGAAGGACCCGCAAACGACAATTTATAGACATGGAAAAACATTGATGGAGACTGACGACGCAACGACACTCGAATAATGGTGAATGTGAACAATTTTCATGACTGAGATATAGACGACTGGAAACCATGCATATGACAAACGACCTTTCAAAAATGGCACGACGAAACAATGTACAATTTACGACTCATCAAAACTTTTCAACGATTAACTTCCACTTTCAACGACATCTGTGACAGAACTTTTCGGGCATTTCGATCTTTCTTTTTCATCTCAATGTGGTTATATTTTCATTTTGATTTTTATGTGACTTGCTCAGCGACACATGTACGACAATTTCTGGGACTTGCGGGGAAAGACTTTTGACAATCTATACGGAGTTCTGCAGGTCATCCTTTCCTTTGTTATGCTTTACGCCCTATATTCCTTCGTTCTTTCTACTCACGAGTTTATATGACGTTCATGTGATTTGCTTTTAAGACTCGAAGACTGTACTAAATGGGTTTGAACTTTTCTGTTGGGTACATCGTCGTTCTTGGTGGTCATGCCCACCTGTACTTTAGGCCTGCAATAGATCCACTGAATTAAACAAAACAAAACAAAACAAAAAAAAAAAAGGAAATTTACATATAAACAATACTTCGATCATAGTGAACCTGAAAACTTCTATGTCTTAGTAATCAATCTATATGATTCTATAAACCATGCCAAGTAGTACAACACAACTAATGTCCGGTCACATCACGCAATGCAGAGCGCAAACATGAAAACAGGAGACGTTAATGACTTCCTCTCCAAGTAATCGTCAGCTCAATAGGATGCCCCTCTTCAGACACATAAATTTTGCTTTTTGTAGGACCTTTAGGTGCCTTATCCGCGAAGAAGGTCGTATTTCCCTGGTAAGAGAGCTTGCCATCTTGAATCTAGAATAAATGTAAGTATTGAGTTCAAAAAGAGAAGTAGCGGATCAAAACTTACACTGAACTCAACTGGGTTCTTGATCCTAGGACCGCAGCTGAACGTATCTTTTGCAAACGAACACTTGCCCTTACTGGACTGCAATGTGAAAGTCTCATCTACGAGTTGTATCTCGTTAGCGTATTTTCAGGAATTTGTAATATACTTAGGAGAACAACGAGGAGAACAACGAGATGTAGAAGACGAACCAGAAACCTTTTCGATCCGGAACGTTGCGCAGGTCCCTGATGTGAACCAGGTTCCGCGGCTGATTATACAACCCCTTTGTTGGCCTTGTGTTGAGACGATCAGGTTCCCTCGTTTCGACCTTGGTGTACCGGTACTTGTTGGCTCCGAGGGTCCTCGTGTTTTGGTTGGTTCATCTTTTCGAGGTGTCTTTGGCTGATACCGGATACCCTTGGAAGGGCAGTTGGATGTTTGGCCATCTAGTACGGGCAGTTAGACATCATATACCCTCCTGGTTATATGAAACTGGATCAGGGGAGCAAACCTGGGTTGGCGGGAAGGAATTTGCCCGTTTGCAAAGGCCCAGCGACATTGAAGAAATACCAAGCCTCGTTCAGGTTATGGTGGCGACATCTAACGACAACTTCGGCCCCATGCGCCTTCACTAGAGCATCATGGATCTCACTCAGGGAGTAGGTCTCCGTGTAAGATGGGACAATCCCAGCACCGGCAAGGATCTAGTAAAGATTAGTTATCTAGTCGCGTTGGTGCGATACGTAATCCAAAGTAATGCACCACGAACCTCGTGTGTAGGCAATCCGTGAAAGAGCTCCACTGTCTTGTCAAAGTAGTCCACCACATCCTGTTGCGGGTAGTATATGTCGTAGCAGTGAGTCTCTAGGGTACTAATGCAGGTTCCGTGCTTGTTCCACTCATGCTCCCATAGGTTTGGGTCGTCTCCCTTCCAGTCTTTCCAAAAGGTACGCATCTCATCCAAAAGGTCCCCCCTACCTGAGTCAGTCAGGATCAGGGAGATGTTGCTATACCGCCTTTTTGAGTCGCAGTATTGAGGGAAACCTCCATTACAGTAATCAGGCCTAGAAAGTGCCAGGAATCAGTGCCCCAGTCACAAAGATTGGTCGCCCTTGCAAGAGCCTCACCATAATCCATGGATAGTCCAGGAATCCTCAGGTCCAATAGCCGGGTCGGCATCCCAAAACTGCGATTGAAGGAACTGGCCCCCGGGATAGTTGAAGCAGCATCTGTCTTGGCCATGATACGGAGTCTTGCAGCTCAGCTCAGCCTTAGAGCAGTGCTGAAATCTGCTCTGTGAGGATTCAATTTCGGGTCCAAGGAGACTTGAGAGTCCCAGGGACCCTGTCAAGGCGGTTAGCACCTGCTGTGGCCCTGGTATTCCCTGGAACATCCTGGTAATATACTAGTGGTAGTAGGGAAGTTGGCGTATTCCGCGCTCTGGCTTCCTCTAAAGGACTTGGAGTGGTGGGCCAAAAGTAGTATCTGTCGCAGTTTACTCGATTAGAGAAATAGGAGAAGTAGATGACTAGACATATATAAGATAGCTCGAGGTAGACGTTGTACCCCGTGATCCTATGACCGATGACTAAGTTGGATCGCCACATGTGATCCGTCAGCTGATACGTAGACTGATAAATGGAGCTAGTTAGATAACCTTAACTGAGCTAAGCTGTGGAGAAGCTATAGAAGCTCCCAACTATTGATAATCACTCTCCTGACCAGACCGCTGTCTTGGTACCTGACGCCTCAATGGTTTCTTTTATCTTTCCTCCTCCTCTTCCTCTTTTTTTTCTCCTTCTTCTACCTGGCACCATCCGTCAAACATAGTAAAGGTCTGATGGACCTTCCGCCAGTATTGATATGTAAGGAACCTACAAAATGGTGTTTGCAATCATTCAGTAAAAATGAGAGGGGTATCATGTAAGGCTAGGTCATTTATATATATACATATACACACATTTGCAGGCTATCAAGATTTCACCGCATCTATAGCCTTTTCTTTCTGTAACTCTTGCTCATGAGCTCGCTCTTTCCACATTCTCAGAACCTCAAAGCAGACTTCAACTGCGATGAGGAGGATGATGATCCATTCAAGCCGCAGTCCGTGTGTCTCACTCAGCCTCTCCCGAAGGACGCTTGCTATTTCCTGCGCATAATCCATCTTTTCGTTCAAGAGCTTGATGCGAATTCCGACATCCAGCGCTCTTCCTACCTGTTCGTAGTATCCTTCCAGCCCAAGTTCATGCCGGCTATCCCAGAAGAGGTCCGGTAAGGAGTCCGTGAGCTCTGAATAAAGATTTAATTGGGCGCGTACGCTTAATAACTGCCCTGTCTTTCGAAGGATAAAGTCCCTTGTGTATGGAAGGCGAGATCCTTGTGACAATAGTGTAGGTATCGATCTGGTTGATTCGAAATAATTTGACAGGAGTGTTTCCAACACTGCCAATTTTGTGCTCCGAGCCAGCCCGGAGGAAAATGCCACTTTAGTGAGGACCGTATCCACAGGCTGTCGATCAAGCTGCGGGCTTGTCCCATTGTTGCTTGGTTTGGTGCCTAGGATAATGGTATCGCCCTTTATGCTGCTGCTATCTCGTTGCTGATCCTCCACATACTCGAGATCTTCCGTCTCTAAGCTATCCAGATGAGGTCTTTCGGCTGCAGGGAGTAAGGTCCTAGTTGCGAGGAAAGATGTAAAGCCTTCTGGGAGCGACCACGCCACAACGGTACCCGAGGGGAAAACGAAAATATCGCCAACTTCATTGGGAGCCAAATCCGTGGTGGCCGGGTTGCTGACGCGACGAATGGAGTCTAGGGGGACCTGAACATGAACCACTTGGGGGTATAGGCCGGTATCAAAGGGATCTGGTTCATAGCCTTTCTCTTGAAGAATTTCCCGCACTTTGCGGATGTTGAATTGCTCGGCCACCGCATAAGCCGTCACAACCTGTCGCTCATGAATCAAAGATCAGCGACTGAAATTACCATCGAGGAACGTTGGTTTAGAACCTTGGTTTGATAGAGCCCTTGCTCTTTAAGCATAGCTTTAGAGAGAAAGCCATCTTTCGATCTTTGTGCCTCAACCGCGACTCTCCGTAACGAGGTTGGCGCTGCCGGCGATCTGCCTCCTCTTCTCCGTTGCTTCTGGAATTCTTGCCCGGGATCCTCGCTCCCATCTCCGGCTTTTGATTGTTTCTGAGTCAGATACGCATTGGAAGAGAAGAAGTCCTTGCGCCGAGGAAGGCTGAACGGTGATGTGGCATGAAGGTATTGGCTCCGGGGCTGTTTCACAAGCCTGGTCACTGCGGGTCTTTTGCAAATGGAGCCAACGAAGGGTTTTGCAAACATTTACGCAATTGCAAGAAAGAACAATTTTGAGAGACAGAGAAGTTAAGGTGGTGAAGTCAGTAAGTAGCTGGGTTTTACTGCCATGACACGTACGGTCGGCCGTTGAAGATCTGGAGGAGTGAATGAATTTTGAAAAGACCGCGGCGGTTCCGCGGGAAGTAAAAGAACGACCGGGGGTTCAACTCGGTGATGTAACTGGAGCTAAGCTGAAATTAGTTAAGAGGGACTGCTTAGTAACCGATCCCCGACATACCCCAACACATCCGGGCATGCTTTCTTGCATCGGTGACACTTCAACATAGCTCCATCAGGTACGGTAAAGGCTCTCGCCATGGACGCGCCTGGCGCGACTGAGGCGACGGATGATGTCCGTCAGGATGGTTCCGACTTGGAGGTATCCGCCGGGCAGAACGTTCACGAGTCCAATACCCACCCCAATCACCTGGATCAATTGGCAGGAAACGATCACGAGCATGACGACGACAAGGATGAGGACCAAGATGACAATGAGCATGGAGATGATAGCGAAGAGGAAGAGGAAGAGGAAGCAGAAGATGACGAGGACGAAGAGGAGCCACACTTGAAATATGCGTACTTGACGAAGCATTTGGGAGCGGTGTACCGCAACGGCGATGCAACAAGCTCTTTCCTCGCTGCTGGAGACAAGATGGTATGAGATCTGTGACTATTAGGATGCTACATGAAGCTGAGAATTCGTCTAGATAATTGGAACGCATAATGGTAATATTGTACGTTGTCCGGCTGCCAACTCGGGTGCACTCCACAACTAACATCCCATTAGCATGCGTTATCACTACCTCTGTTCCAATCTCTCCGTGTGTACCATGCACACTCTGCTAGCGTCACTTCTATATCGGTTTCGCCATTCCCTCCACCCTTACCGAACACTAAACCCGACAGCATTAGGCTTCATGAAGCGCAGGACCACCACTCCAGACCATCGTCCGGCGCTTCCAGTCTTCGGGGCAGACCAAGGCCAAACAGCCACCCAGCGCTATCCTCTACGCCTTCGAACTCGATATATATCGCGACGTCTTCCATAGATGGTAATGTGTGTGTTGCGTCCCTTGTGGATTCCAAGGACGTCCTCTTACGCAATTTTGGCCGGCCTGTACAAGCTGTCGCACTATCACCGGAGTACAAGAGTGACAGGACATTCTTATCCGGTGGTCGGGCTGGGGACCTGATCCTCACCACAGGTGGCCGGGTGGGTGTAAGTACGAATTCGACAACGATGGGGGGTGCTGCAGCTGCAGCTACGAGCTGGCTTGGCTCTATTGGCCTCGGGAGCAACACCGGCAAGGATACCATATTACACAGTGGCGAAGGAGCCATTAGCACGATAAAATGGTCGTTGTCTGGGAAATTCGTCGTCTGGGTCAATGAAGAAGGAATCAAAATCATGCGATCAAACCTTCATTTAGATTCATCCGATTCAGAATATGCCTGGAAACGCATCAGTCACATTGACCGCCCCAACCGTCCGGGATGGGAAGAAATGTCTAGTGTTTGGAAGGCTCGCGCTGAATGGGTCGACGACGCCGCTCTTGATAGCGAGGAGATGCCGCAGCACAAAGGCGAGACATCTCTCCACGATCACTCAACCGTTACACCCACCAAAGAAAAGGTAGAGAGGTTGATAGTTGGCTGGGGTGGTACGGTCTGGGTGATTGAAGTTTATCCTGATCGGCCAAGCAAGAACAACAAAGACCAAAGAATTGGATCTGTAGAGGTCTCTACAATGTAAGTCTCTGAAGTGCTGGATTCGGCCGATTCCTAACCGATCTCTAGATTGCGTACCGACTGTATTATATCCGGAATCTCATTATATACTCCCAGCCTTTTGGTGGTCCTCGCCTACATCGAGGCCGAAGACGCTACAGGGGATGAACGGTCCAAACACGGAGTCCTCCATCCCGGAGGACGTCATCGTCCAAGGGGGTTAGAACCCGAGCTTCGGATAATCGATATTGAAACCAAAGAAGAGCTCAGTGCAGATACCCTTTCAGTCAGCCGTTATGAGAATCTCACTTCTTCTGACTATCATATGTGTGTCCTACCTCCCTGGAAGACAACTGTATCCGTTTCCCAGAAAGGTGCATTAGAAGCTCTGGGGAGTGGCCTTTGGGATGCAACTATGTACCCTGCACGCTTGTTCAGCTCGGGTGCCAGTATTCGCAGTTCGACTAGCAGCGGCGACAAAGGTTCTAGTAAAGCACCCAGTACTTATACTTCCCGACGGGTACCTGTAGAGGAGCCCGTATCTAAAGAGGTACAAGATATCTCAGGGAATGCGGGGGCCAAGATCTTCATACATAGTCCGTATGATGGTGTCGTTGCATTGAAGAGAGATCTTGCAGATCGCCTGGCATGGCTGGATGCCCACGAGAAATACGAGGAAGCATGGAAGCTCATCGATGAGCATCCCGAGGCAGCAGGATCTGCAAGTGAACAGAACGATACCATGTTCGCTCCTCTTGCAAGAGCTCCAACTACTCTTGGTGAGTTCTTGGCAGATGATAGGTCGTCTATGACAACCACCGGCCGAGGGGTCATCTCCGCTGCCGAGCAAGAAAAGCGCCGTATTGGTGAGCTATGGATACAGCAGTTAGTCGAGGAGGATAACTGGAAGGAAGCAGCTGAGGTTTGTGTAAAAGCACTGCATACCGCACCACGTTGGGAACATTGGGCTTGGACTTTCATCAAACACGACAAACTGGATGAAATATCACCTGTCATTCCAACCGATATGCACCCACCCCTGTCTTCAGCAATCTATGAAACCATCCTTGGCTATTATGTCACTCAAGACAGACATAGGTTTAGTGAGCTCATAGGCTCCTGGCCGTTCGACCTATTTGATGTTGCTGGAATCATATCAATTATCAAAGAGCAACTTGGATCGGGCTCAATTACACCCGATTCGGATGAGTGGCGCATCTTGATGAATTGTCTTGCCAAGCTGTATCTAGCCGGTGGTCACTATGGTGAAGCGTTACGTTGCTACGTCCGACTCCAAGATGCGGACACGGCGATGGCTTTGACAAGAGATCATCGTTTACTGGATGCAGTCTCCGACGATATTCCGGCGTTCATCATGATCCGTGTGTCCAAGGAGCAGCTCAAGTCAGCGCCCAAATCCGAGCTGGAGGAGCTCACAGCAGAGCCCATCAAGCTCCTCGTGAGCGAAGCATATACAGGAATCGTCCGTCCAGAGACTGTCGTCAACCAGATGAAAGCAGCAAACCGGCTCTTATTTCTCTATTTCTATTTGCGGGCTCTTTGGCGAGGAGAGTCTCTACCACATGGCGTTACTAAACCCCGAAGGGGTCACTTCGCTCACATTCGGGACGCAGCGAGCAAATTGGCAGCCGACGAAGGAAAAGCACTAGTTGACAGCTTCGCTGATACGGCAGTGGAACTTTTCGCCAACTACGACCGTGCATTGTTGATGGAGTTTTTGCAAACTAGCACCGCTTACACATTCGACTTAGCAGTCACCATATGTGAAGGCCGGCGCTTTACACCCGAACTCATCTACCTCCTATCAAAGATGGGTCAAACGAAGCGAGCCCTGAACCTCATCCTCTCCGAATTAAAGGATGTATCACAAGCCATCTCATTCGCCAAGTCCCAAGGCGAACCAGACCTCTGGGAGGACCTCCTCGACTACTCAATGGACAAGCCACGATTCATCCACGGTCTCCTCGTAGAAGCCGGCACGGCCATCGACCCGATAAAGCTCGTCCGACGTATCCCTAGCGGACTGGAAATTGAAGGTCTGCGCGAGGGCCTGTCGCACTTGATCCGAGAACACGATCTCCAGGCAAGTATCAGCCAAGGCGCCGCCAAAGTCCTCCAAAGCGAGGTCGCAGTGGGCATGGACACATTACGTCGAGGTCAGCGACGAGGTATCAAGTTCAATGTCATTGAAGAAGAAAAGCGGCCAGCATCCTCATCAGCTACCCTGTCCGGAGTGACCGAGAAAGACGAAGCGAAGAGTGACGCCGGCACTGAGAAGACCTCCGTACCACCACATACTCCAACGCAAGTCGGGAGATGTGCAGGTTGTCAACTTCCTTTCCATGCCAATGGTAAGTCTTATCTTTATTTATATCTGTAGCCGTTGTCTTTGTTCCTTTCTTCTGTCGCTTGCTTTCCTGGATCTTGAAGCTAATGGTTATTAAACTGGCAGAGAAAGAGATTCTTGTTGGGTTCGCTTGCGGACACATCTTCCATCTTTCCCACATTCATGCAACTGAACCCTCCGATGACACCACACCGGAAAGTCGGTCAGCCACTCAAACTCCAAAGTCGTTCCGGCAGCTGCATACATCAACACTGGACGAGCCCTCAATGTCCACCTCCCGGACGGTTGGTCCTAAGGTTACCACTGCCCGGCTTCTCCGGGACCGGATTGGCGATGGTTGCCGAATTTGTGCACTTGCGAAGGAGATTGAAGCGATCGGAGAAACTGATACGTAAACGGATCAACAATGTTTCTGTACAGGCTTTGCTAGAGGCACTCCCACGAGTGCCATTCTAGGAGATGCTTTGGTGCATGTTAATATCGATGTGGGTGAAGGACGGCTGGTTCCGCTACATAGCTCCCTGACGCGACTACAGACGGTATAGTTTTGTTTCTTAGGAGATACCCATGGTAGTACCAATTACAGTGTAAGTAATATGAGAATTGCAAGAGTCTTAGATTATGCGGGACCTGGCCGCTCTGTGAACAAACATGGATCGTTTCAATATTAATGGGAGCAGGGAGTGTAGTCACTAGTGCACCCCGTAGCAAACTTGTAACAACAAAGAACACCATTCTGACGCGATCTCTCAAAACGATAAGGAAAGCCATGGTCAGTCATCGCAGTTGCTGCTGAAATCAATAAACACAGTAGCACCCGACCCGTATGAAGTTACCAACGTCATGGGTAGGCACCCAGCACTACAATGCCAAAGGGCGCTCAGATCATCAGGAAGCCAACAAAAATCATTGCCAGGACCAGCAAAACGTTGCTCATTCTTCCCTGCACAACCGCTTCATTGGACGTCGGGGCAACGGTAGATGTTTGACTGCCACTGCCAGTGGCAGTGGTACCAGCTTGCCCTGTAGACTGGGAGATAGTTGGATGAGCAGTACTGGATATGCTAGAAGACTTCGTGGAGACTGAAGGGGAAAGAGTTCCGATAGAAGGACTGCTTTGTGTTCCAGTCGATTGAGTCGTTCCAGTCGCAGTGGTGACAGGGCCAACTACAGTTGAGCCAGCACCAGTAGGAGCAGTACCAGTCACCACAGTAGTCCCAGAAACGGTGGTTACAGTAGGGGCTGGGGGAACACCCGGGGCTCCAGGGGTGGTACCCGTGCTTTGAGAAGTGGTGGCCACGGGCGGAGGAGAAGCACACACAGTGTCTGTAACAGTAACGGTTACGAATCCTGGAAAGTGCTTAATTAGCGATTACCTGTAACTAATGGCAGCCTGTGAAGTAGCACACGAGCCGGGAAACTCACCACCGCGGGGGAGCAAAGCGCGAGGTTCATCAACTAGCGAGAGCACAATAATCAAACATCGTCATCTTGTTGGGTGTTATCTGGGGAACTTACAAGTAGGAATACCCAGCAGGTGGTCATCATCGTAGACATTGCCAAGACCCTCTGTAACATCTATGGATGTAAGTAGCGTGTTTTATTGGCAATCTCCGCAGCTGTACTATACCTACCCAGGGCGCAAACCATGGCCGCGAGAACCAAAGCAGCAAGAAACATAAAAAGCTTGATGGACGAGTTGGAAGCCATATCGAACAAATGGAGCTTTGAAAGCACACCAAGACTAGGAGAGAATTGGGAGTGAAAGTTGACAGGTTCAGAGAGAAAGTTGTATAGATAAGGAAATTGAAAAAGAAAACGCCTTGATAGATGAAAGCGAGCGTGAAGAGTAAAGTGGATGGATAAGCTGGAGAAGGAGAGAAGAGGAGGGAGAAAGAAAGACGAGCAGAAAAGCGAAAGAGGAGGAGAGTCAGGCGTTGCCCGTGACACCCTCTTGCCTTGGACAGAAGGTGCAACGAAAAACACTTCCCAGAAGGGAAGGCAAGAACTGACTAACCGGCATTGACTGGAGCAAATACATGTGACTTGACATTCACCGTTGATAATACTAAGTACAGTGTCAAATGTGAGGGCGAGATACCCAAGTGAAGTCTTCCAGGGTACACCTTGAACATACACACATATGTGTATGCATAGGCATATGCAGCAAGAATTAAAATCTGAGGGGCGTTAGTCGTGATGTTTTTACTGGTAGTACACTGAGAGTCCATGTACTACTTACTACCTGAAGATTAGGAAGTTTTCAACAACACAATAGGAGATGGGGGTGGGTTGAACTTCGACGCCGGGGTTAAAAGGGTTACACATGTAGACAAGCTAAACTCAAACGTATCATGCGAGAGGGTGAATAAACCGTTTGAAACCCCAGTCACTACTGGAATATAGAGAATGATTGTATTTAGAAAGAAAATGGATGTCTAAGGCAACAATTGGGTGGTTTGAACTGATAGGGCAACTTCATCCCTTCATGGTCACAATGGAATTGAAACTGCCAACACAGGACTATTGTTGCATAACAACAGTGCGAAATATTAGGTCCTTAGTGCGCCCTGACTAGAACACATTCAACCGGAGGAAAATTCGGCGATTCCACCTCTACCTCGAACGGTGCCGAAGCCACCCTTAGCATCGTATCCACCATCAGTGCACAGATTTGCCACTCGCAGAACGTGAGGTTGATCAGATCGACCGAGACACGCTTTCCACCTCAGTACGGATCCTCTAACCCATCCAGTGCTAGTTCTCTGCACGTCAGGATCAGCCAATCACCCCAATCTCTCATGATATACAAGGAGAAACTGGGCCAGAGGTCTGTCTAGTCGAGCCCTCGGGTCTTGTGCATTACCAGCCTAGGGTAATTCGCCCGTACTCCGTACTGCCAATTATTCAAGCTAGGATGAGCTTAATTGAGCTAAATTCAAGACGAGCCTCCTGCGATGGAAAAACGCTATTACTCTATCAACCGTTAGGGGATATGGAATAGATACGGAATCGAACGCAAGGAAAGATCCCGAAGTCTATCGCACAATGCGAGTACCAGTTAGTCGAATGTGCAATTGCATTACAAGACTCCCAAACAGAGTCTCTCCGACTTTCTGAACGACATACCATGTGCAACACATACCAAGGTAGCCCAGGATAAGGCTCACGAGCGTTATGAAATACGAATACCGTATACCGTCTAGTGTCCGTCGCGACGTTCGTATGGAAAACCCGTTCCAGACTAAACTAGCGATTGTTACATGGACAGGTTTGCAGGCCCACATCGGCACGACCCGAGTGGAGAGCACGCGCCAATTTACCGCTAATTCGTTTGTCCAAGGAAATTGGTCGAGTCGGTTCCAAACTATGACGACATCGCGAGGACCCCAAGACAATCTGTGAGTGAAAAAACGGTAGCTATGATGTCAGACCCCCAGTAGTGTCTTTTCCCAGGCGCGTTTACGGAAAAGATAACCGATCTAGACCTTTTCAAGATGCCCCTGGTCCGAATGGGTTGGATAATAGGTCAATTGGCGCAGATAAGAAGAATTGAGTGCTACCATATGGGCCAGCTTGCGCGTCTCCTCCTAGAGCAAATTGATAAAAGGGAATGTAGGGACGAATGAAATCAAGAAATTTGTTGATGGAGAAACCGCCTGCCTGTGGAAGGTGGACACCTATTCATACTGTCATGATTGGTTAGAAATTCGAAATCAGGTCCTATCCGTACACAATCATCCACGATTCTCCAGAGTATGACGAGTGACCCCTGAAGAAAACACCCTGAAAAAATCTTCGATATGGATTAGTTATCAGAGGCGAAAAATTCCGCCTCGCATGAGGGGCTGCCGTGGTTGTTCCAATTTCAAAATTAGAATTTGGTTTTGGCCCAATCCAGAGGCAAGATGGACATTACATGCAGTAACTTAATGATAAATTAGCTTCAGAAAAGGTTCGGCCATGTGGTCACGACGTAGTTCCCAATTTGGGCCACCAAAGCAGATCCCGAAGCGTATGATCGTCCCGACGAATGTTGAAATGGCCGATCGGGTTCTCGATTCCTCAACCTAATTTGGAGAATGGAATGCAAAGCTTCGTTGATTAGAGTAACAATCGGTCATTGGGGTAGATTTTGCCTGCACCTTGGCAACACGTAGTAGTACCCGTTCATCCCTATTTGAAATCCTTGCCTGAAGGATACAGTTAGCCCTTGAAGATAGCATTGTTATGTAGAATATTTGTACTTAATATTGATATTCGTTATAGATCAAACAAAGACAAAAAAAAAAAAAAAAAAAAAAACCTTTAGGCTGTACAAAACTAGTAGTAGTAAAAGAGTCGCTCTCCTTCACGGAAGAGGAACTAGTACAGTCCGCTAATGCACCCGCTTTTGCGAAGCGTTCACACGTGACCATTCATGGTCTTTACAATCTTCCAGGCTCACGCATAGTGCGCAAATAGTCAGCTCGGACTATGTCGGTGAGGATGTTCGGGGGTAAAAAAAAGAATACATGTCATATCAACTTTTAAATAACCCAACTATGTATATATGTATATATATCTCTTTTCTAAATTGATCTGTATACTCTGAGCTTAGACTTTGGTGCACAACACAATATATCTCCCAATCCTCCGCTTCTGAGCGGTTCATATGATCAATAGTTGATACTAGTTCATTCAGGAAATTCCATCAGAAGAGATTATATCATGCCAACAGGAGCCGGTCAAGTCCCCGCACAAATCATGACAGTCACAGGCCGGCTGAGAATTTGAATGGTAACACATAGGAGTTAGATCATAAACCCCACTGAACAGACAAACCGGTTCATGCTCAAAAACGAAAAAATAAGGCTTGCAAAGTGTAACAAAACAATCATGCCCAAGTATCATATAAACGGAATAGGGTATCTATATCGTATGCTGAGCCCTTGATTCGGTTCGCCTCGGAACAACAAAGTCATGAAACAAATAACAATGCTTGTGGACGTGTATTCCCACCAGCCTGAAAAAAGGAAGACAGAGGAGAGAGAAACAATGAAAAAAGATAATTCGTGTGCAGGTAGGATTTAGGATATTGTAAATATGGCACAAGGAATTGAGAATCGTGGAATGATCGAAAACTCATATAACGACAGGGTATCATTGCTCGGAGATTCGTGTATTATCCCCGTATCCAACGCCCCCAACATGAAACACAACCGAAACTCCAAATGAGATGAAGAGAAAATAGAGAACAAAAAAATGAAGGTATTAAAAACCTAAAATGATGGTGAGGGATCGCGTTGATTGAATGCGCACCAGGCGCCGATAAGAAAAAACAGGACGGACCGAAAAGGACCGCTTTTGCTTTAGTAATTATCATTGCCAACGTAAATTAAAGAAGGTAAAGAAAAAGAGAGAGATTGAAAAAGTCCTTTAGAATAGGGCTTCTAGGAAGACTTTTTTTTTTGGCTACCAACGTAGTTAGTAGCTTAGCTTGAGCTCAACACCAGAGTTCATATTGTCGGATTCGATGGCTGCTGCACTGTCTAAAGTAGCAGTCTCGATCTCGACCACCATATCTTGGCCATCAGGCAACTCGCGAACCACATCGTCATCAACCATGATCTTCAGGCCATTTTTATCGACTCGAAGCACGCGCACTATACGCTGTGGATCTATGCGTTGTTTAACAGAGATCTTCTCCATCAAATCGCGCACGGTCCGTTCTGTCAGATAAACAGCTCGGTAATAATCATCTTTGGCTTGATCATTGCGTGGGAATCGAATATAAAAACATGCAACTAAGCTATAGTTAGCGAGGGTGCTATGATGCATGTTTTACTTTACAATACTTACTGGGCTTGGGCTGGCGTTCGGCTGGTGGTCTATACGTTGGGTCGATATCCACCGCCTCAATGAATCCCATGGGCATATCCCCGTCTCCATTCGCCACCCTCTGAATCTTTATCGGATGCTTCAGAACAACTTTGTCTCCGCAAACTTCGGACCCTGGACGCGAGTTTTCGGCCGATGTATTCACTGAGCATTGGTAGCCGGAATCATAATATAAGCCCGTCTGCGATTGAACGGTCGGGGTATGGCAGGTTGAGCTCAACGAAATGCAACTGTTTGTCGGAGACAAGGTCGGGAAACCAGCTGATCCGTCAATACTAAACCGAGGGCCACTCTTGACCTCCTTCTTGACAAAATCACGAGGCTCGGGGAGTTGAACCGGGTAAAGGTCGGGGTCGTCCTGCTCATCACCTTGCAAGCCAAGAATGCTCATTGGTCGGGTAGATGTGAACATTTCTTGCATTAAAGCAAGTTTTATATGTAGATCATCTTCCATAGACAGTCTGTCACCATCTTGAGAGCCCATCGACCATGTCCGCTTGTGTTTTGTAATCTTCGCAGGGCGAGCGTCAGAACCTTTAAGTGCAATCGAGCCGCCGCTACGCTTCCGTTTTCCATAGTTGCCAGCTCCCATCTCAGCCTGAGCGATCTGCTGCCTGAGTTTCTCGATGGACTTCTTAACGTGGGCAACGTCATTGGATAGTTTTCGCTCCGCACCATGATCACGAAACAGTTTCACTTTGCAGTAGCAAACTTCTGCCTCTTTCCCTTGCGCTAGATCTGCAGTATCTGGAGAAACCATCTCTGTTTTGGCGCAAAGTCGGACTGGAATACCCTTCACACCTTTAGAGTGGCTGAAATCAGTTGAAAGAAAATTGAACCGAACAGATATAGCACACTCTGATGCTCCGGTTGTTGGGCTGGCCGTCCAGGTCACACAAAATCCGTCAAAGGAAGAGCTCTCAAGCTGGACCTGTCGGTTTTTTTGGTCATCAATGCCTCCCTGGATGGGGTCAACGTATTCAACAGCCTGGAGCCTGCCACCACGCTGGTGCGCCTCGTTCAGCCCTCTGCCTTCTTTCCATAACTGCCAACAAGCGGCGGGTTTCGATCTTTGTTCCTTATCTTGAAACGAGACACGAATATAAGTCCGGTACTTTACTGGCTGACCATTCATCGGGGGCGGCGGAGCAGAGTCAATGACGGAAACGGAGTATGCTTGACCCTTGTTGAGGTAGGATACTGGAACCTCATTTTGGTCTCTAACCATTGCTGTAGGCGCCCGCAATGTGACGTGGTAGCGGAATCTATGATTGAACACGGTTAGATACACAACTAAAAGGGAGGGGGCTTGCAAGCTTACTTTTCACCGGGAGATTGAACATCGACTTGATCACGTTGCAGCATGGATGGAATCATGTGTGAATGGGCGTGTCCCTGCATATCCACATCATTTAGTGACAGTTCATCCACAGATTCGTCCATGGCATCGTAACCTGAATCACGGTGAACAAATGCAGGCGCAAATGGAGCTTGCTGAGCAAACGGTTGCGGATTCTGGAAATGTGGCGCAATGTACGGCTGATGGTATTGGTCGAGGCCCATCGCTGTGGTATCAGCATTGATGGTGGCGCTAGCAAGCTGCTGCGGCAGGGTAAGAGGGGTGATCATGTTCATCCCCATAGGGGTATGAAGGTCGCCCGCTTGGCTGTGGAACACCGCACCGAGCCCGCCTGAGTTCGGCGTGTAGTAGCCTTGTGGTTGACTTAAGGGATTTATGAAGGAAAGTGAGTTAGGGTCAACATAAGACGGCGCGAATCTCATATCCTGGCCCGGACGAGGCGTGGCATCATTAAGTTTCAAGTCACCGCTCTCCATACTGAGTCTAAGCCGATGAACACAGTCAGTTTCCACTCAGGACAGCAACAATTTTCGTGATGGCCAGATGGTAAGATGGCCAGGGGAAAGGGGTCTAAAATACTTAGCCGGAGTGATTGGGCCAGCAGGGATTTGACCAAAAGGCGCTGTATGGCGATTGGGAACTGGAGGAACAACATCAGAGAAAGTCTTTTGGAACCTCTCGATGAGTTCGTCGCCTGGTTTCTGGGAGTTCTTTCTGTATAGCGGGTCATGTGCATCAGCAAGACATTCAATAGTGATCCCAAGAAAACTGAGTACATACCTATTACGAAACATTCTTAACGGAAACCGGGCGTGGATTTAGTACCCAGACGGTAGGCCCAGGGATGGGGGTTGAAATCTGGGGCGAGGTGAAGAAGGGAGTGCCAATAAAGATAACATCCGGCTCAACAAGAGACTCTTTAAATCCAACTATGAAAACCGTGGGGGAGGACTTTTTTCAGATTATTTTCTTTTTTAGTGAATTGTCGGTATGATCCGATCTGTCGAGTAGACAATAACGCGGCCAGGTTATGCCGACCCGAATCACCTCAAGAAGTGTCGGGTCGCAGTCGCGCGAAGTTGAAAGGCGGAGGAAACAAGTTGGGGAAAGACGCGGATGTGGTGGGAAAAAAGGCGGAAGGTCGAAGGAAAGAAAACGCAATCAGATATGGATCGAAGTTACAACGAGAAAGTGTCCCTTTACTCTCAAGGTGTCAGAGGAGACATGAAGGAAGCTTATGGTGACGGGAGACTGGTTTTAAGTACAATGTCAGAGGTGACAAGAATATTATGCACGCAGGATCTGCTTGTATCGGGTAGATAGTAGTGGGGGAATGCTTTGAGCCGTGAAGGAGAGGGGTGTGCGGGTGGGTAATAGAGAGAGAGAGAGAGATAGAGAGAATAGGAAGACAGGAAGAAACGAGTGGGAATGGTTCAAAATAGAAGGGGCAAAAAAAAAAGAAAAAAGGGAAAAGGAAAAGGAAAAGTCGATGATGAATCTGATGTGAAGGAAGAGCTGGAACCAAACGGCACAAGAAGCACCCAATAATGTTGGACTAGTTCGGAGGACTGTGGAGGAGGTAAAGAACTGAAGTAGAATGCCTTTTTGGGGAAGGAATCGGCCCTGGACACCCAAACAACGCAACTCTACTAGTTTTAGGTGGATTTGGTCTGCTCGGAAGAATTGTGGACAGGATGTGATAGTTATTAATACCAACAGTAGCGAAAGGGCCACATGGAAAAAGAAAGAGGTTAATGACGTGCAAAAACACTGGCGAATGGGTGGATGGCCCAAATTAAAAAAGTAAATCAAATCCTACAAAATGAAAAATAATACTAATAGAATACAAGCCGAATGAGGTAGTAGAAAGCTGAAGGTTTCGAGAGTCTACACAATTAAAATAGAAAAAAAGAAATGGATATGCTAGCTTCTCCAGTTTTTCTTTTGCCTTCGTCTATTTTTTTCCTTTTTCTTATTGAGCAAAAAGCAAAGAAAAAACATCATGGTTCCTATCTCTTCATTTCCCTCCATTTATTTCTTTTTTTTTTTTAGAATTTAGAATTTAGAATTTTGAATTTTGAATTTTGAATTTTGGATTTTCTGGTATGGAGTTAAACGGACATGGCCCAGGGATCGGGCGAGTGGGGAGGAACCTGGATTCAAAGAGGGGTGTGGGGTGGATCAGGTAAGGACGACCTACCCGCCTGGTATTACCCAGGTACCGTACATACATGCAGAAATAATGTGGTATGAGGAAGGTATGGTAACTATGCCCGTATCTGGGCTTCACGGTCCACGGTATCAGAATCAGTTACCTAATCCGCTAGGTGGGTACTTAGGTAGACAGGAGTACTCTCAGGAGGTATGTAGGCAAGTACACTTCCAGCTATTTCACTGGTTCCGGGGGGGGGAGGAATTTTCTTGAACCGTCCATGTCGAACGTAACTATGAAAGGGGAAAGACATTCGAGCGATGCTTCCTCGGAAGCTATCTATATCTGTGGGCTTTCGATCAGTTGGCCAAGCCGAACCGTTTAACGCCATATTCTTGAACCATCTAGAATATGCGGTGTACTCAACGGAAATACTTGCCAATGGAAATACACCAATCTTCAGGGCACCCTTTGACTTCCTCTCGTGCTCCTCCTACCAAGAGCTATCCGAAATACCTACGGTTTACCAAGCCCAAGCATCACTCTCAACGCCCATATTTCAAGGGGGCTTGTATTTCAGACACTCTGACGGAAGCGCTCTATTGTATGAACAGTGTGCGAGGTGCGGAATACTAGCTGTTTATCGTATCAAAGGCTGTTTCCAGATTGGGAAGGCATGGAAGGGTTTCGTCGTGGAAGCCCCGGTAACTTTCAGGGGCACAAACTTCCGCTGCGGAAGTTACCATACAAACTCAGCTGTAGATCTCTAAAAGAAATCATTGTTCTTTGTAGTCTAGGGAATCAATTGCATCTGAATGGAAGGTGTAACATGATTGTATTCTGTGGATGTATATCGGAGCGGTGTCGGATATGCGGCACTTTTATGTTTGCCTTTTTTTCGTCCCCTTCTAGAATCACCACTTTTTTCTAGAAGATGATACGAGGCGTGGATGACGCATAATAAACAAGCTATATATCGAGCGACTGATGTGACGTTTCTAGAAAAGGTTTAACTTACTAGGGATTAAGGCACCACCGTCTCCAACCCCATCCTTACGTTTTCATCACATGGATGGCATCTGTATTCCCTTGGCGCTTCCCAGATCTTGATATCACCACTATCGCAGCGACAGCCACATATATCAACCGGAGAGCCTAATCTCGTTTGGCGTACGGCACATCCGTCGTGGCGACAGCACCGCCAGCCTCATTGATTTGCTGATGAGCCTCTTATTAAACCAGTTAAAGCCTATCGATACCTTGCGCATTGTTCAGAAACCTGCATGCAGTCCAAAATTTGAAAGATTGAGTCCCGGGAGAAACTAAAGCACCTAAAGAAGAAACAGGAAAGACAGCCATTTCTTGGATGCCCGAAACCCTCGAGTCTCAACCTAACAAGGGTGCACGGAGCACCTGTGACCCGCCGATTCGTGTGAGCTTCGAGCCACTTTTAACCATGGAATTGAAAATTATGACAGAATGCTATTCAGATGCACTCAGGTCCCTGGACTCGAATGATATCAGATCATACTCAGTGAAGGCGTACATGGTGAAGAATCCCTCTCCCCTGATGATCTGTCTTCTGTTGTTATCGGTCTTGGGTATTGTATTGTCTGTAATGACAGCGATATCAAATTGCCCAAAGTCGCAACGACGTCTATTGACTGGGTAACTGGGCCGCCAATCAAAAGGGTGGGATTCCGCTGCCGTCGCACGGAGCTCGCCGAAAGTCAATTACAAAACGACCATGTATTGTAAAGACCTGCCAAAGAACAAATTTGGAGCAGTAACTTTCGGTGGCTGGTGAGGCAACAAAATAGTCCCTCTAGCATTAAAATACCGTATTTGCCCCAGGGATAGAAGAGGTTCAAAATTTTCAGATCAACAGTAAAGATGGAAAAGGGAAATGGAAGAAAACGATGTTTCTATTTCGGTTCTTGGGACTTTCAATTTAATTCTTCTTTTATTTTATTTTATTTTTTTTTAAAAAAAAAAGCCCACACACAACCTTGTCTGTCAGTCATTCCATACCGTTAGGAGGAGGCTCGTGTTCGACTACTTGCTGACAGCCGAGATCGCCCTAGAGAGGGAGGTTGACTCTTCCTAGCGCGATAAGTGGATGATATCCGTCAGCCCATCTAATTTGTTGGACGAATGATCCGATTCAAGGGGTTACAGCCGTCTTAGGATAAGGTACTGTAAGGCGATTATGGGGAACTTCCCATCGAGAAATGACAAAGGGAGGCATGTATTGCGTCACTTCCGTCTGGTTATCACATTAGCATTCCTGCTCCACATTTATGACATCTCTTCCCATCAGGCAGAATCCGGCACTCCATTTCTCAACACAACCTTTCTGTCTCTCTCTCGCTTTGCCCTAACATACTCCATCACGTCGACTAACCGAGTCTATCTACTTAGTACCCAGCCGTACTAAAGAGTTTCCAGCGTGCTAGATAATTAGCAAGTGGGTCCCTGCATGGCTCTCTCATGGGCTAAGAGGGAAAAGCCACTAAGTGGTCAATCTGATGACTCGCTATGTGTATATAAAGACAATAGAAGCCAAAAGAAAAAAAGAAAAAGAAGGAAGAAGGAATAGAGTTCCAGCTGAAATGTAGCTATTATGGAACAAGCATACGCATACCAGTCGGGAAATACATACAGACAAAAATAACTGAATGAGCCACAACCGATGCAGATCATTGTCCCTCACCCGCCATCATATGATGGCGATAAATCGCCACTTTGAATAAGCGTGTGTCTTTTCTTACACGGTGGGTGACAGTGATCTCAATGCTATTGGGTGTATACAGATTCTCAGTTTACTAGTAGCCAGGATTTGTAGGTAGTAACTAAGTCATAGATATAAAATTAATGTACTAGGATTGTTCCCTATTGGTCCCGCGAGAATCAATCAGATCCCGTCAAACTGCTTCCGAGTCCGCGCTGGAACATGAATCCATCTGGATTAGTTCGTTCTCCAGGAGCTACCTAAATAATTGTGTTTGAGAAGTAACTATCACACTGATATTCCGTCGAATCATAAATAATGGAAGCTGATTTGCAGTGACTGTCTAACGGCCCCAGTTCCGTACTATATATCTGTGCGTTGTTACCCACCCTGATAACTCAATGCTCAGAGATTGTCGATATGTCACGCGTGAGACTGAGAGGAAGGGCCATTTTCAAATATAATACATTTCCCACCAAAAATTAAAAAAAAAAGAAGAAGAAGAAGAAGAAGAAAAAGAAAAGAAGCTGCGTAGAATTGTCATTCGAAGGTTTTCCTACTCCATGACCACGTCAAGTTCGAAAGTTGCGATTCATGATTCAGATTTCTCCTTCCGGTCACGGTACCAGGTCCAAGGCCATGGATGGGCGCCTGCGCGAATAAATAGGACGAACGATAACCCTGTCTGCACAGCAAAACACACATTTAACCATAGTCTGATGATCGGCGGATATTCCGCTCTCTCTTCCACATTCTTTTTCACTATTGCCATAATCATATTTTTATTTGAAACCTCTGGTCAGAAAAAAAAAAAATCTCGCGTCTCTGCCAAATGAAGACGCTTAGAGCATCCCGAAGGAAGAGTGGGTATAATTGCCTACCGTGGTACATGAAGGAATCGCACTGGCAAGTCAGCACGAAGAGAAAAGAGGCGAAAGAGGGGGGCGATATCCCCTTTATGGAGGACACCGATTAGGAAATACCTGATCTCGCCTCTTTTACTGGCGGATTGTCAGTTAATTTAGTTGCTCCCCCGCAGGGCACAGCCAAGACTTCACATCATATGTATATCGTTCGGCATGCATCAAAACAGCTCGCATCTGACATTTTGCCACGCCATCATTTTGCTATCTGCCCCTCCTTCCTACCCGTGTTGCTGAAGAATGAGATATTATTCGACCGTGAGGCAGGGTCAAAACATTCACGCCTGTTTAGGCAGAAGATTTTGATCCCCGAGTCGGGGGACTTGCTGTACTATTAGATTAAGGTGTGTCGCGATCCAGTTTTCCATGCATATTCTTGCAGAATCGGTGTGTAAATTATACTGCGGGATCTTCGAGCTACCGAACGCAAATACCGACGAGACGGTGTTGTATTTGCTGACATGCATCTATCTCTTTGGTGGGAGGGTTAGGGCCCGCTTGCGGTAGTACTGTACATATATGTCTGAGAACGGGTCGATGTCACATGACGAAAAGCCCACGAATACTCACTGGCATACAGATATCGCTTACATACTATTTACTACTCATAGTAAGTGTGAGGAATACCAACCTTCGCTGACATGGCATTTATACTTATCTGTCTATCATAACTCCCCGATGTCTAGGACCTAGTCCATAATATATCCGTCCATCCATCCATAGGTCTATTCGTATCTATCGTATCAATGCCGGTAGTAGCGTACCAGTAAGAAAGCCATTCTGTCCAATGGAAGATACATCCACTTTAGAACTAGCCAATTACCCTAGGAACTTGAAATACGGTATCAACCGTGGCTCCCTAAGCCCTAACCGGACATATGAGGTACTTTTGCAACTCACAACAGTAAGTAAAACATAGGTACGACTGAATAATGAGTTTGACCCATGTCCTCGGGATCTGGATCTTGTCGCCACAACAGGTACCACGCCGTGATAGGTGCCATAGCGACGTCAAACCCCACTTGGCTCTTGAGCCATCTGATCGTTGAGTTGTATTTTCCCGACAAATCATGGCTTCGTATCGGAGAATGGCGAAATATGACTGCACGGCTGCTGTTGGGGAAAGCAATCAATCAATGGACCCACTCGTTCTGTTGACGCACTCCCCCCCCGGTTTAGTGTCGTATTGTTCTTTTGTTCTTTTTCACCTTTTTTTTTCTTTTTTTTTTTCTTTCTTCTGAATCATTAGCGTTTCTTTTAAACGCATTTAAATGATGTGGATTCCCGTGTGGGTAGTACCTATGATGTCATAACGTTGTGTTGTATTCCTTGCAGACTTTTTGATGATGAAGCACTGCATTTACAGCCTGGAGGCACTTACTACGTAGTAGTAACTACTAGTGTTAGTACCTACTAGTCCACTCCGTAGTGGATATGGACTAGCACAGCTAAGCTTAACTAACCCACTGCATCGTATGTTGTGTTCTGTATCTGGAACAAATTCGAGACGTCTGAGAGGCTGGGTCGACACTGGTCGCTGAGGTTTGGAGATAGTTGAAACATAGAACTCTTCCAAAACGTAAACAACACAATACTCCTCCCCCCACCTTATAGTCCAGGCTGAGAGCTTCGACTGATGTGACGTTGAGGGCATCAGTGTCTATAGAAGTCCGCTCAAAGCCTACAGTCAGAACAATGGGTCCCAGTATGCATCGATGGTAGACGTAGAGCCCATGTGGTATTATTTGTAGGTATCTATGGACCAGCCGTATGGCCAACTATCAATTATGTTCCGTAAGAACTAACCCAGTATGAACCGCCAGTGATGCTAAGTCCCGCTTATCTCATGGCATACATAACATCAACGACACGCCTTCGGTGAACCTTTTCAGAGTGAATCGCAGAAAAAGACAAATAGAAGAAGAGAAAAGGGGAAAACGAAACGACTGACGCCACAACTCCTGCGCACCGTCACTCATATTTCCACACCTAGAAAATAATGCTGCATGGATGAAAGCCAATGGGAACCCGAACTATGTTCTGTATAGAAAGGCGAAATCACGCGATGTATGTCGACGAAAAGAAACTGGTTTCAAAGAAAAGAAAATTAAGGAAGTAATCTTGTTCCACCTCATCCTGAGAGTCGCTCGAGGTGAGATTTGATATACGTAGGATTCCTGGACCCAGAGCTCAATGCGCGTTTAGTGGAGACTGTCTGTCCTCTTGGGACTTAGAAGGAACTAAGGTCCTCCGAAGACTCCTGCACCGAAAAGAGACGGTCGGCTTAAAACCGGGAGTGTTCCGTGCTTTAACTGACCGAAAGGTCTTCGTCTGTATATTGCTGTTGGGATATTGAAGGCATGTAGTGTCGATATAAGTTTAGTGCATGATAACTAATGAGAATCCATCCACCCAGGCACCACAGGATCCTGAGATGCCGGCTATTTTATAACCAAGAGGTGGGATTAATGTGTGCCTGTGAGATGACCTTGTCAGCATGAAAGAAATCTACAAGGTCACATTTAGGTCACGGAATTGCCTACCCTGAGCCCCCATGAGCATTGCCAAAAAAGCCAGACTTCCTCCCTTGACTCGTAAGGATCTCTATTCCGTCAATCCAAGCCCCCGCTCGGATATAAAAGCCCAGCAGAATTTCTCCTCGTCGTGTATCTAGCAATTTATCAGTCCCGCTGGTTGGGAATGCAGTAGCGGGCTTTTCTCCTATTTCGAGACTTACCAAGAACGAAATCATCACCGCCAGGTTTACCTCCTCGTTTCCCAAAGAGCTGGCTAGTCGCATCTTCGTAAAAGAACTCCAACCCATCTACTGCCGCGCCGTGATAGACCCGAATCGAGGTCAGCAATTTCGTTGATGCGAAGGCGCAGTCTAAAAGAAGCTGATCTGGTTGACTGCCTTCCATCTGTGAAAATCCTAATTTACTGCCCTTGTAACCAGTATGGCCCTTCGGCAGTTTCACTACCGATTGCTTCGACTTGAGATCATTGAGGGAATCAACGGTGTGGCTGCCAAGGGCACCGGAGAAGACCGTCAGTCTGATGTCCTTTTTCTTCTCTTTATCAGTGCCGAACACACGTTGTCGAAGCTCACTCTCCGTCACTGTCACCTGCCGCGGGAGCCCATTGCTGCTTGATTCTGTGTTGATATACTCAATGAAATTATGGCAAACATCGGCACCCTCAGCATATAGCTCCAGAAACGCAATGCCAGTTGTCGCGGTAATCAGGATTTTACCATTCTCGACGGGCCAGACTTGCACGCTATCATCCGAGCTCATAGGAGCGTCCCCGGGAAGTCGGAAGCAAGGATGGAAGCGGAACCGTAGTGCATCAAGTCGGTGCCAGCCGCATTCATCCTGAGGTAAGCACAACTTGAGCCCTTGAGTCTTAGTACGGGTCGAGAACGGCTCGCGCGTCATGAATGACCGATTAAAACGGACGTAATCACGGAGCATGATACCTGACTCTTGATGCGGACATCCAAAGAGATGTCCCACTTCATGGAGGTGGGCTCCAATTCCAATATTGGCGGACTCCCATCGTGACCCAGCTTCACTGCAGTCGTTGGCGACGAAATCCGTGTCCGTCCGGGTGCAATCTGAAAAGGCATCTACAACTTCCTCTAGACTGGAGGGATAGCTGTGAAGGCTATGGGATCCAAATATGGCCATTTTAACATCATCTCCGCCTGACCCTAGGGCAGCGTGACCCGTGATAGTCTGGGAACCCGTGTCCCAGTGGGAATCCAGGAGTAGGACTGAGACGTACTGCTTCTGGCCTGGCTGAAGATGCAGATAGCTCTTCACAGCATCCTTGGCGATTTTAAATAGTTCGTCCTTCTTGGTAGCCGGGCCATGTTGTTGGGCTATATTGAGATCCCGAAGCTCAGCGACCGTCTTATCAGTCCGAATGACATGGACTTTAGCTTCATTCCGCATCTGCCCATTAGCTGTATCCCGACGGCTCAGAGTCCCACTCTGCCACTCTTCTTCGAAGCGGAAACATCGTCTACCGAAATTGTTCCGGAACATTTGCTCGCCAGTAAAGGCTTGCCATAAATATGCGGCCATCCGATACTTTCGAATGGCAGTTTCTAGACCATGGCCTTCGCGCTGTATTTCCGCCGGCGTAGCATCAAACGTTCCATCGGAGTCCTTTCCTAGCAAGACTACCAGATGCAAAGGCGGAGCGTTCACCAGCGGAAGGTAGTTGATACAAATCCAGGATGAATGCGCGGCAGGATAAGAACTGCCTGCAGACAGCTTGGTTGAAATAAAATCAAAGCGCAGACGATTAGGACCTGGGGTAAGGTGTACTAGAACCTTGAAATGAGACGATGTGACAGGCCAGCTGACTGGTGGGAACCCATCCTGATGATGGTAGACCGTTACGCTTCCGTCCAGCGGATGTTGTCTTGGGTCTCCAATCTGGCCGTAGACGAGGAGTACTTTTTGATGCACCTAATCATCGGTAAGCTTCGTTAGTTCGGACATTCATAGTAGCCCGGCCGTGTGCTAGTGCATGCGATTGAGAACGACAGGGGTCACCTACCCAAGAGTTATCTGCAATAGAAATAATTCTGGGAGCATACGGTGACGAAGGGGTTGGTGTCCGAGCCCCGCCATTGATGCTACCCTGTGGAATGGATTGTTAGTATGGAACAGTAGGAATCGAACCAACGGCCTGTAGGTACAAGATACAAAAGAGAGTAGACCACATACAACCATGCTACTGCGCTGAGATGGGGACGTGTGGGGAGCCGGTCGCTGAGGCGGTACCGACAGTGAAGAATTATTGCCAGTGGTACTGCCATTGGTCTCACTCAACGAAGGGAGATTCGGTGACGAAGTGGTGGGCTTAATGGAGGATGGTGGAGTGAGGGAGCTGTATGAGGCCGTATCAAGAGTGGAAGAAGACTTCCCTGAGGTCATTTCACTGTTCGATTGCGACTCATTGGATTTCGTCTCATTTGATTTGGTGGCACGAAAACTAGGTCTGGAGCGGCGACGAAGCTGCGAAAAGAACGGCATGATGAGAGGAATCTTCTAAGTACCAATTGAAACAGCAATCGGGCTGTGTATCAGTAGTGATGAACAAGGAAAGAAAGCTTCCACGGGTATCAGGAAAGGTAGTATTCCTTCCTCCCGAATTGCTACGGCACTCTCCTCGTCAGAGCGAGTGGACGAACCAGTCCAGTCCGACTGGGAAGTAAAGCGGAAGGAGGAAGAGGAAACAAGGAATTGGCGAAGAGGAAACGAGAGAAAGAGCTGTCCTGAGATATTCAGGATAGCCAGTTGTCGAGGGGAAGGTACGACCGATGTGGTGGAAGAATCGAAAGCGACCGTTTGCGGTTGCGATTGACAAAACGATCGGAATGATGATAACCAATTTTGGTAATTACCACTACCAACAATGACCACCCCGCATAAATTGTACGCGTAAGAGAGAGACGAAGAAAAAGATAAAAAAGGACAAAGCGAGCGACTGCGAGGGTAAGGAGGGAGGAAAGCAAAGGGAAAAGAAAAATAATAATAAATAAAAATCAAATAAGATAAAGGGAACAAGATGGACAGAATAGAAAAGGGAAAAAAATGAGAAACAAATAGAGCGACTAGTTTTAACTAAACTCACCTAGGGAGTATGGGACCAACTTATCTTTCGTGACCCAGTGCTTAGATAGACTCGATAGACTAATGAACCATTGTGGCGATGGGCAATGAGGGGGGGGGGTAAAGAGTAAGAAAGAAAAAAATATATATATATATATATATATTCAAAAATAAAATATAATTGATAGACACCTTCTTTTGCTTCTCCTCCTTCTTTTTCTCTACCTTCAATATTGATATTAGATATTAATAGTAATTGTCATTATTCTCCTCTCTTCTCTTCCCCCAATCAATTATCATGCTTCCAGCATCCCATACGCACAATCCCCCTTTCTTGGACTTCAAGATGCAGCTATCAGGCAGACTTCCAGGTTTTTCTGTTTTCCCCTCTCGCGACAACCTGGAAAAGCATGTAAACGGCGATGATGACCCACTGCGACGCTGTTGCGTATAGACAAGGAGGTGTTACGTCGGCGGCATCTCACTGGCCAACCATAAGGGATTTCAAGTCTCACTACCCATTCATGAGTGGATCAGATCGTCTGCTAAATTTGTCTTCGCTGGAGCGATTAGGCACGGCATTCTTTTAGTTTTATAGGGGATCCAAGACTTTTCTCGTCCATAATTCTCAGAGGTTGAATTAACGACACATACTCGGTAGAAGCTTCTTTGAAACTCAAGGCTAAAAAAGAAAACGTTCCTGACCCGTGTTTCTCGGGCTTGGTTTGAGAAGCAAGAGAATTGTATGTTTCATATTATTTTCCTTTATCTCTTATCTCTGATTAGTCCATTTTTTTTTTCTTTTTTCCTTCCCTACTTATAAATTTTCGATTTTATTCTAACCGGGTTTTGTTTTGGGAAAGGCTCCCGTGGCTAAATCTCTTTAGTACACAATTTTTTTTTTTAATACCCTGACCAAGTTCAAGGTCCAGCTGGGTTGAAGCCGCCCTAAATTAGCGACTGAACTAGACCTTGACTAGAGATCTTGGTAGCTAGTGCGAATAGGATCCATTCCATGGCTGTCTATCTCTCCTTTCTCGAATCCCTCTCCAACCATTATATCATTCTGTTCTTTTAACTGACTCCGGACAAAATGATATACTCCATTCGAGTACGATATTTCGATCTAAGCATTGATCAACTCAGTTTCTTCAGCCTCCTGGAAATTGTATGTTATATACTGACACGGTATTATATTAGTCCTTAAGATCGTGCATATAGCTGAGGTACAGACATCTGCTTTGCCGCTTGCGGTCCACGTCACTCCTCGCTTGGTCCTTGTCCACGGTTTGCTACTTTTGCCCTCTCCAATCCTGGTGTTTCAATAACTCGTCAGATGCCATTATCCTTCCTATAAATTTATTCTTATTACTATATTAATTTTCTTTTACCATAATTTTTGTTTTGTTTTATTTTATTTTATTCTTTTCTATCCTTGTGTTTGTTGGTTCCTATCATTGCAGGACTCACCGAACCCCACCTCCTGAAGTTGCTTAATGCTTCTTGGCAGTGGGCAACAAGTGAGCACTAACAATGGCGAAAAAGATAAGGAAAGGGGGTCCAGACTTGGGAGAGAGAGAGAGAGAGAGAGAGAGAGAGAGAGAGATAGATAGATGCCTCAGGCTGTCAATCCTGGAAACTTAAGCAGACGATGTTTCACTATCGGAATGCCACCGACGCCGTTTAGCCGCCGTCTCTTCTCACCACACATATAGGGATGCATGTGTCTCAGACAGGGACTATCGTTGACAGAAGTCAATGCGGGCAGATCCCCTTGTTAACTGTCATATTATTGAGCTGACCCTGAAACAAAAAGAGAGAGAGAGAGAAACCTAAATGAAACCCAATCGGTCGGCACTTTGTGGTGGCTAGAAAGAGGAGAAAGGGAGAAGGGAGAATGAAGAGAGAGAGAGGGTATGTTTAGTATGTATGTCCTCTGAGGATTGATGGGTGGCTTTGAACCAAAAACGGCTCGCATGGCTTCCCTGCTGGCACGGCAACGTTTATTTACTCCGGATGAGGAGTCTCGATCGTATGAACATCCTTACTCTCTTTGTTTTTGCAGGATGAGATGACCGTAGGAGATGTCGAGGAAGAAGGGGTCGATGAATGCCTAGATCAAGGGAGGGAATTGGGAATGGATCGGGGATTTTGGTCGCATACCTACCGGGACATTCCAAATCGATTGGTTCTGCGTCGTCTGGGAATCGTAAGTATTCGAGGTAAAGATCGATCTATTTAACTCCGGGGAGCTATGCTAGTAGTTTCGTGAAGAGACACAAGGTTGAGAAACGACGTGTAGAATTCCGGGGGCCGAGGGGGGGGGTCTGCCATGCATATTTATCAAGTAATACTGTAGATGATCTTGGGGATTATTTAGGGCAAGCCAAAATGAAAATACGTAAAGATAAAAATAAAAGTAAAAATAAAAAATAAAAAGTGGGCGAATGTAAGGGGAGAGATGAACTACCTCCTATAGAGTACTATTAGAAGATTTGGTGCATGTATATGTGTATGTACCGCCTAAGTACCTCTCACGTATAAGGTACTATTGAAGCACCTACATATATTCAAACAAAATACATCCCATGGAGCACAGAATGAATGTACTTACCGGTTTAGTGGTGGAAGGACAAGGTGACCGACCTACCGGGAGCGATTGGATGTTTTTGGGGCATTGGCACGTAGCAGGGACGAATTGTGACCTTCAAGATCCACACCCACTTCGGCCCTTCACAGGGCAACCAACATCTCAACCTCAAAAAGGGAGCCCCATCTGATTTTTCCCCTCCTCGATATGGAATTTTGGAATTTTTGGAATTTTTTCTCTCTTTCACTTCCTCCTTCCATGCTAAATTGCGGCTAATCTGAGATCCATTTTTCCCCAGAGTTCCTGCTTTCTTAGTCTCACTCAGCTAAAACGATCTAAGCCCAAACTTCCGCTCTCCAATTGGGTTGGCTTCGATTTTCACTTTCGTTATTCGTTCATTCTCCCTTCATCCCTCTCCACCTTCCAGCCGCCCTTCACTTCCTCTGTGACTTCACAAGCCTCTTCTTCACTAAAGCTGCCCCGGACCTTGCATTGACCGACGACGGATTCATGTTCACGGCCATTTTTGTTTCCATCCAGTGAATCGTTCTCTTGCTGTTCACAGAACTAATGGCTCTCCCTCAGCCTTCCAAATCGGAGACGACGATCCGCAAAATTGACATCGCCCAGGTATGCCGACTCTCCTCCGTTCAACGAACATTGTACCATATCCTCCCTGGCTTGTGTGGCTTGGAAAAAAAATTTGTCTGACTCATTGCTTTGGCACTTAGGTATCCCTTAGCCTTCAAGATCGGTTGGGTCTTGCCAAGGTCAAGTACCAGAATGGTCGTCTTCGGGGCCTGGACCAGAATGGTGGCCGGAACAGCCTGCCAGGAAGCGACAAACCATCTGACTCCTCTTCCGATGTCTCCCACAGTCGATGCGAGACCCCAATGACCTCTCCCCCCTTACGGACCTCGATGTACTCGAAGGAACTGCCCCGGTCGTCTCGCAATAGACATGCTGTGACCTTCGATTCCAGAGTGATGCAGCCGATGCTGTCCGCCAGTCGAAAGCGTCTCCGGTCGGATTCAATCGCAGACCACCCTGCTAAGATCCCCCGATCGTCATGGAAAAGCTCCTATCAGCTGCCCGAATCATCCCCAGGCTTCAACCGTCACCTCTTGAATCGTCATCTCCCCTTTGTCAGTGAGACGGCTACAATTCCCGAGCTTTCCTCTCCGGCATACCATCATCAGTCGGATGATGACAATGATCCGGACCTCCCAATCCATAGCTTCCAAAATGTGAGCTCCATGGTGAGCTCCTCACCCCCTCGAACTCCGCCACCAAAACATGCTCGGTTATCTAGAAATGATCGAACCGTACGGCATGAAGATGGTGCGGATCTGCTGCTGTATCTGGCCAACTCCCCTACCCCAGCCAGTGTCGCCGCGAAGGCTCATGGTCGAGAGTTTCCCCCATCTACCCCGCCAAGTCAGCATGCTGTTCTGCCTTCATTGACTCCAACGCCTGGAGGTGGTGGCGTCTTCCCAAATTTCAGCACTCCAAACCAGCAATTCAATTTCGCTGATTTTGTCAATGTGACACCTAGTCCAGCCCAACCTGCCTGGGGTGGTCGCACGCCTGGAGGTCCTGGCAAGACCCCGCTAACAACCAGGGACAGAAGAAGGTCTCACTTAGAGAATTTGTTGCCTCCTGGTGCCGATAGCCCCAAGACGAGAGCCAAGCAAGCAGGTGTTGTCCTGCAGCTTGGTGGAGAGCTGCGACCTTAAAACCATCGTCTATGGTCAAAAGAGCCTTTTCTGCTTGTTTATGCTTTTCACGAATACTTATGACTCATGTATGCACAACTTGTGATTATCTCATGTTCGGTCAATGTCTTGATCGTCGGTCTTCACTTTATCCTTCTTTCTTCGTTTCACCTTCTTCCTCTTCCACTTTTCAAATTCCTTACAGCTCCAAACCCCGTGTCGATTGCCACCGAATCATGCATTGCTGCCCATACATACCCTTTCTTATGTCTCGTTTAACCCATTCCGCTAGCAATTTTTTATGTATTCGCCTACTCCCCCCTTTCAATTAATCGTCGAACGCTCTTTACTATTTCTTCGTTATCATTAGTGATTACGGGGTGAAACCCATGTCCGGTACCTTACTACAATTTTTCTGTCTAAATTTTTGTTGTACATACATTTGACATATCAATAATCAATACCTTAATTGATTTCAACCCGCATCGAGTCCGTAGGTTTGGTAACAAAAACCCGAAGATAACCCCACTCTGAAAATCGCACCACACACAAAATTAAGGAAAACAACACGCGACAGCCGACGCGTCAAACTCAGATCCGTGGCTATTTCGCGTTCCAGCCATCCCATACTAGGATTAGCGCTATGCATGTGATCGACGCCATTCTATATCGGGATTAGCCGGCTCAAGCGTAACCACCACTTTGCCATCACGTGATAATATTCAATGGATGAAGTATACTATGCTTAAAAGTGCTGACATGTCGATTATAGACTAAGTGACTGATTCCATCTAGCTATGTTACCTGGATACCAGTGCATGTGGTGTTTTCAATATATAATATGCTTTTCAGCCAAGATAGAATTATTATGGCAATATACTATGCCAAATACATTGCCCGTTTACGGGTGATCCAACCAATACATTATCAGATACATTGCTGAATCGCGTCGCATTCATTCCTCCTGCCAACCTAACTCAGCATCTGGAGCAGGGGTTTCTGCTTCTTCTTTTTGGGAACGTTCGAATTGCTTCCTCCACAGCAAGGCTAGGTAATCCGACGTGGTAGCTTCATCAATAGACTTGTCCTCCCGGGCGCGAAGAAATCGGGGAAACCGAAGGCTAAGACCTCGTTCATCGCTCACTAGTCCGATGGCAGCCGTGTAAGTCGGGCTGAGCGTGATATCGGCAAAGGCCATCTCCCACACCTCCTGCGGCTCGAACCAGACGTCCGGCTCGCCGTAGTATTCGACATAGCTTGGCCGTGAGATCACGTTGGCGCTGCCTTCTGTGTATTTATCCTTGTTGGCCTGGTAGAACTTGTCCGTGAAGCCGGACATGCACTTTGTGACGGCCTCGAGACTGCCGGTTTCGGGATTCCGTACGGCTAACAGGATGGGTGACCACCATTTGGCCTTTCGGCCTTGTCCGTGCCAGCCCCCTACGGGGATCAGATCGAGGGTTTCGGATGAGGTGCTGTAGTCCTTTTTGACTTTTAGCCATGATTCGAGTCGTTTGTCTGGTTCGTATGTGGAAAGTAAGGCCTTTCGGCGGCCTCCTTTCGTGGGTTTTGGCTCAGGCTTGTTTATGTCGTTGTTTGGGATCTCCAATGGTTCCAGGTCATTTGACTTCGACGCATTGTCAAGCACCTTGACCATGATGCCTTCGCACTTGGTATCTGTTGCACTTTTGAAAAATTCCAGAACGGCCTCAGAATCGGCAGATGTGGCATCAATACTCTTCACCCATGTGAACCGGTTGGGGATTTCCACGAATAAGCTTCGTATAAGCTCTCTACGTTCGCGGAAAGATCGATCCAACAGAGGGGTTCCGTTCAGATACATCAGGTCAAACGAAAAGAGACAAACATTAATCTTGATGGTCCCTATATCAACGTTCTTTTTGGCGCGGTTGGTCAAAACCTGAAAGGCTTGGAGTTCTCCCGTTTCCTGGTCAACAGCGACTACTTCACCCTCAAGTATGAAGCTCGACACGCTCTCGCCTCTAATCTGAGGAACCAGAGACACCAGATCCGGGTATTTCTCTGTCATATTTTCAAGATGACGGGAGAATATGGTAACTTTGCCAGCCTCATCACAGTGCACCTGGGCACGCTGCCCGTCATATTTGTATTCGCAGGTAAAATCCCGTCCTTGAAGTTTCGTCAGCATTTCAGAGAGGTCCCGAGTGATGCTGCCTAACATTGGCCTCAACGGTACATGAAGCTGCAGGCCACATCGTACAAGGAGTTCTTCCGTGACCCCTATCTCGAGTAAACAGGGAACCAGATCATTGTAATCAGGGTGTCTAGCATATGATGCCTTGACAACCTCTTCTGCATTGTTGTAAACCTCAGCCAGGCCTTCCTTCTTGAGACGAGCCAGCTCTTGTTGCGAACGGATAGCAAAATCGGCGCCATCCGGCTTAGAGTACAGGAAAGCGCGTGCGAGTGCGATGAGCATGGTAGTCTTCACAGCTCCTATGCGTAAGTTTTGGACGAGAGTCCTCACAATATACCGGCTCTCTTCCGCGCCCCTAGTATCTTGTAACAGTTTCTCGACGATTCTCTGTTTATTTTCCTGGCTCCCTGTGCCCTTGCTGATGGCAATCTTTTGCAGTGACTGATATACTCCCTTGACCGTCAATGGCTTGGGTTTCATTAGAGTGAAGCTCTGTCTCTTTTTAGCTTCGAACGCCACATCACCGGCGTCTCCAAGTTTATCATAGAGCGATTTGAGGCCTTGGCTATTGAGTCCATAGATCTTCTTGAATGCCTTTGAAATCGAAGATCCACCGAGTCCTAGCTCCAACTCATCGTACGGTGGAGAGATTGAGTTGGTTGCTAGCCATACTGCGGGGAGGACGCTCGAAGGGTCGGCTTCAATGAGCACCCGCAGGAAGTTGACAAGTGTGTCTACAATTTTAATGCGACTTGTGGTGGCATTTGCAAGTACAAAGGCTCTGGTTAAGAGGGCATATGAAGCATCGCCACCTGTGGCAGCCCAGTGCCCTTTTAACTCCTCTGCATATTTCGTGGAGTCGAACGTTAAGGGACTCTGATCAAAAGGCACTGCAAGAGAAACGGTATCTTCTGTGCCGGTAGAAGGCTGCAATGATAGTGTACTTCTCTTCTGTGTCTTGTTTGGCGGTTGTTCATATTCGTCTTTGGTGTTCGACGGCGTCGCAATCGGTTCACCAGTTGGTGTCTGAGTTTCTGAAGCCAGGGCAGCATCTTGTCGATTCCATTCTTCCTGAAGCTTGCGGGCGAGAGCTTCATCGGAGAGGGTTTGATCTGTATCTTCAGACACAGTTGATGGAGTCTGCTCCGCTTGCTTGGCTGCTTGGCCCTTGAAGAATGACGCTATGCTTCGGTTGCGTTGGGGGGATGAGACTGGGACATCTCTCTTGCGCTTTTTGGCCGGACTAGACATGTTGTGCTTGGGTTTGACAGTACCCTTGACTTTATGTATATTGTATTCGCCCGAGTAATGGGCGCCATGGTGGCCAATTCGTTGAGAGAAACAGGTGATGACGGTCGGCGGAAGCTGAAGCTGGATGGAGCTGAGCTCCGCTTTCCCGCAATTCAATTTAATTCGTCCGGAGGCGGAGTTGTCATTTCATTGTTAGCGACACCTTACATTTCATCCCCCTCTCCAACACTACCTGACAATGGCGACTCCTACATCCGCGCTGTCGCCGCATGAACGAACACGGGTCGAAGATTATCTGAACGACAAAATCCAGGTGTCAGCCGATTTCGAAAGCCTTGACTCGTTGCTGTCTAGTCTTCGCTCCCAGCATAAGCTCCAACGGAAGCAGGTATTGTTATCTTACTATGTCCATCAATAGATGACCTAATTTATAACATCATCTGATGCTCTTGATATAGTTAGCAGAAGCACAGGAAGCACTATCGAAAGCGACAAAAGCCTCTAGCGACCATGCCGAAGCCACTCGAAAGCGTGCCGAGGCGTTCAATGAGCAACAGGCGGATATCGATAGGCGGTTGAAAGCTCTCACCGGGTCGGATGCGAGTGACGAAGCGGCAAAGCGATTTGAAGCGAGTATAGAAAAGCTGCGTAGGCTGGAGCTGTCAAAGGGATATGTGTCCCTGCTGAAGGAAGCGGAAGAATTGAGGTATTTGAAGCAGTGATCCCGTCGGATCAGAGCATGGATCGCTAAAAGATACACAGCAAGGATGCCTTGAAAAGCATACAGTCTTCGCCCAAATCTGCCATCAAACCATACACCCGGCTAAGGACCATCGTCCAATCCTTGAAAGAAGCCCAGCCTGCAGCAGAAGGGGCTGCCCCTCACCTGGTCGACTATGTCGGAAAGCTAGCATCTGCATTGAGAGATCATATGAAAGCCGACTTCACTAAGCGGCTACAGGGAACATTGGAGGAGATGAAGTGGCCGTCGAAGGATCTGTATCTTCCGGATAATCTACGGGCACAGTGGAGAGAATATGTGGAATTACTCCTCGACCTTCAGACACCGTACGTATCAACCATTGTTTTATGATTAGTGCGCTAACATATCTATGCCAGTGAACTTTACACCCGTGACATTTCGAAAGAGAAGCCCGTCAAGCCTCCGATCTTGCTACCGCTGGAAGTGATGGTACATCCACTGGAGCTTCGCTTCAAATACCACTTCAGCGGGGACCGGCCAACAAATCGGCTTGACAAGGTAAGGATTGTCATCTAATAGATTTTGAAATACTGTTCTAACTGGGCTTCCAGCCGGAGTATTTCTTTGCTCATGTGACGGACTTAATTAACAATTTCGGCGGGTTTTTTGCTTCCTCTTTGCAGCCTATCTTTGACGAGAAGGCACAGACTGTCGGATCTGGTCTAGAGTGGAATTTCTACAACGCCTCGCATGCCTACATTACAGCCCTTTTGCCGATCCTGAGACATAAGATAACCACATATTTGCCCCAAATCTCAAGCCACCCGCAGTTGCTGAGTCACTTTGTCCACGAATTGATGAATTTCGACAACGAAATACGCGAATCATGGAATTACCTACCGGATCCTTATACTGACGATAATTGGAAGGGCGTGACCTGGGAGGTACTAACTGCACAAGGGTGGTTTGAGCGTTGGCTTCAGGTTGAGAAAGATTTTGCACTGGCACGCTATAAGGAAATTGTAGATGCGCTGGATAGCGGTCATATTGATTATGACGGTGTGGATCGCTCAGCGACAAAACCAACCAAAGCTGCGATCCGTGTCAATGATCTTCTTGAGACAATAACTGAGCGTTACCAGCCTCTGTCGTCATTCAGCCAGAAGTTACGCTTTCTTATCGACATCCAGATCACTATATTTGACCAATTCCATGAACGCCTGCATTCGGCGCTGGAAGCCTACCTTGCAATGACGTCAACAATCGGTCGCACAGTGCAAGGGGCTGATGGAGCTAGTGTGGAGGGTGTTGCAGGGCTAGAACGGCTCTCCAGGGTATTCGGAAGCGCTGAATATCTTGAGAAGAAAATGGAAGACTGGGGTAACGAAGTATTCTTCGTAGAGCTTTGGTCCGAACTTCAAGAACGGGTCCGGCAGAACAAGGACGGCGGCAAGAACGTAGCTGGCTCGATGTCTGTTGCGGACGTTGCGTCGCGCACATCCCAGGCTGTCGCGAATGGTACCGACCATGGAGAAGCCTCGGAGGGCGCCCTGTTCGATGAGACAGCATCCGCCTATCGTCGCCTGAGGCTCCGGTCCGAATCCGTCATCACCTCGACTTTAACTTCAAACATGCGCACCGCCCTTAAACCCTACTCTCGCGTTTCGACTTGGGCAACTATTTCTGCTGGTCTGGCATCACCTTTACCTCCGACTTCGGATCTTGCGCCAGCAATGCGTACTCTATCCACCGAGATCTCTTTCCTTTCTCGCACCTTGGGCATTGCGCCCTTGCGTCGTATCATCCGCCAAGTGCTTCTGTCCATCCAGACCTACATCTGGAATAATGTTCTCACAAGGAATATGTTCTCCGCTGCAGGGGCAACTCAACTGATAAGCGATGTTGAGCATCTCTGCAATGTCATTGATGTGGCCCTTGGACCGGCTGCTCAGGTTGGCAGCTCAGTGAATGTGCTTAGGAAACTTAACGAGGGTCTCACACTTCTCGGATTGAGTATCAGTGGGTCGAAGGTAGCAGAGGACGGGTCTGCATCGCAGGAAAGCGATCAGCAGGGAAGAGCGCCTTTAGGGCTGTGGGACGTAGAGAAGAGGTTGTTCAAGGATAACGAAAGCGCAAGGGTCGTCCTTGGTGAATTGAACATCGAAACTCTTTCCGAAGCGGAGGCGAGAAGTGTTCTGGAGAGGCGAGTCGAGATTGGTAGTTGAATTTAGCGACATTGCATTAGTCAGTGATTGCTGGAACTGACATGCTTCTACTTTAGCTTGTATGAGATATGTAGATATGAATCTAGTGTACATAATAATTTGAGCCCTGCGGTTTTAATCAATCATTGTAGTATGCACTCTAAAATGAGAAAATCTATGGAAGGGACGCTATATAGTGCTTTTAGGTAGCCCTGTCAACCAAACGTACAAGATCCTGCTGAAAGTGTCCTGCCCGGAGAGATGTTTCCAGCTCGTTACGTATAACTTTATCGTTCTTGTTTTGGCTTAAGAAGGGAATATTCAAGGGTGGTGAACAACTGGACCGTGGCCCCTTTCTCCTGGCCTGTTAAAGTTCCTTGGAGCATTCTGCACCTTCATGTTCTCAATTATACCCGGACCAACCTCTTCAATTGCTCGCAGAAGCGCCTCGACGGTCTCCTTTGTAGTCTGCACATTGACTACGCAACGGAAGAACTTCCCATTCCCGACAGCATCCTCATCACCGCTGGGTGGCGCAAAGTCAACCATGAAGCCCTTGCTCACAATCGCATGCGTCACCTGCTCAGTGACCTTGCTATTCGCTTTGCCGCGCTCGGCTTCGTTCGAGACGATGCCACGAGGATGGAGGAATTGCCCGCCGGGGGCGTAATAGAAGCAAACTTGAAGGCATGGAGGAGGATTCTCACTGACAAGGATGAAGTTCGGGTTCTCGGCGACGAGGGTTGCAAGATGCGCCGCAATGTCGCAGGCAGTGTCGATCTGCTTCTCGTATCCCGCTGTCCCGTAATAAGTCCAGCCGAGGAAGAGCTTGAGGGAATCGGCGCGTCGACCGCACTGGAGGGTCAAATCTGCCAGATCCCATACTTCGGGCGAGTCAACGCCGAGTTCGGACTCGACGGTGCCATTACAACCGCTGGCTTCGGGAAGCTCGGTGTCTTCGTTGTGGAACAGGTACCCAGCAGGAAGGGTGTTTGCACGGTGGAAGCGACGCAAATCAGCCGCAAGGAGGAACGAGCAGGTCACCGGCACACCGAGCATTTTGTGAGGGTTGATCGCGATGCTGTCTGCCTTTTCTGCGCCGGCGAGCTTCTGTCGATGGCGTTTGGAGAAAACAAACGAGCCACCCCAGGAGCCGTCAACATGGAACCACAGATTGTATTTCTTGCAGATGGCGGCAATTTCGTCAAACGGGTCGAAAGATCCCATGACAGTTGTTCCCGCTGTCGCATTGACGTAGAACGGGGTACGGTTCTCCGTTAGAGCTTTTCGAACTAGATTCTCCAGCTCCGCTGGAATCATGCGTCCTTGCTTGTCGATAGGTACAGACCAAACCGAGCTACTCCCAAGTCCTAGCATCTGTGCTGCCTTCTCAATGCTGTAATGGCCATGGGCACTGGTGAACAGCACAAATCGGTAATCACCGTTTCCGTCTCTTTTCGTGGCAGGGAAAAGATTGTTGCGCGCAATGACAATCGATGTTGTGTTCGAGGCAGAACCACCTTGGACCGATATTCCTCCTGCTCGTAGACCGTTGAGTCCAAAAAGCGAAGCCAGCTGTTTCCCGGTGAACTTCTCAATGACAGTCAATGCGGGCGAGACCTGGTAGACGTGGACGTTTGTGTTCAAGGCAGCCAGGATAAGCTCGGAAGCTACACCCGGGGCGTTGGTGGATGCATACAGCTTGTCAAGAAAGCCCTGATGCCAGGTGTTGACGGAGTATCTCAAGACCTTCTGCAGGGCCTCGACCAGGCCATCTTGTCCCGTTCCTTGCTCTGGCAGTTCCAATTGAAGAATGCTCTGCAGTTCGTCCGGTTTCTTGTGGTCCACCAACGAAGTGCCCGATAGTTTGACGTTGTTATGACTGCCGTTGGTTCCATTGACGCCATTTTCCAATGCCTTCTGGCCTAGGGGATCTTCATCTGCAGACCGGATAAAGGGAATCAGGAGGTCTTCGACCGCACTTAGAAGCTAAAAGAACATATCCATTAGTACTGGGAGCAATTCCTCTCAGAAGCTTGTGGGATTCTCTCCACAAACTAGCAAGCGCATTCTGACTCACACTTTGCACTTCTTCCGCGCGGCGGGACGGGGAGGAAACCGCCATCTATGACTGATTGTAATCCTGGAACAATATATAATATAAGATAGGAGAGATAGAACTCAGCTACAGGGAGAAATGCATATACACCAAATTTGACAATTGCTTGGAAGATCCAAAAAGTCCCGAGGTCATTCATAGTAGAACTTACGACCCAAGGACCCATTCTGTCACCGGCACCGTTGCGGATCCGCTGGAGAAATGGATGGCGACAGACCCGGAGAGTCTGACATCATGGTTCCCGAGGCCAATAATGGGTCTATAAACTGTCATTGAATTTGGCTCCCTGAGCTAAAAGAGATTTAGAAGCATTTAGGGTCTTCTTTACGATGGTGGGGATAAGAAAGAATTTCTTATCGTTTCATTTGATACCCCGCACGTGTTCTCCTTTTCAAGGAGAAAAAGAACAAAAGGGATTAAATACGCTGCCTTGCAAATCAGGCAGGTGTTCTCGTCAAGTATAGGAACACAATTCTATTCCCCTCCAATTTACAAAAATAATAACTAATTCTACATTCCGGCCCTTTCAGAATATGTTGTTCTTTGTACCATGATTTATTTTCTTTTCCTAAAAAAAAAAAAAAAAATAATAATAATAATAAAAATCCCCGGCAATAATGCCGATCATTTGCGATATTGAATTCACACTAATGCAACCCCGTATTGCGTGCTTTTGATATCCACATAACCAATCCCGTGACCCTTATGTACATCCATGACTTTGTTGCAGAAAGTTTGCTATACCCAAATGAACACGATCAAAGCTAGGCAGTTACGCCCTTCTGAGCACCTTTCTTCGCGTCTTCCTCTGCCTTTGCAGCAAACTTAGCCCGTGCGAGTTCGATCCTAGACTTGGGCCTTTCACCGGTGCTATTGTTGTTATCAATACCTTTGGCTTTCACAGCCCATTCGCCCCGTCGTCGCTTGTAGAGATCCATCGCCCAGTTCCTCCAGACAGCACGGCCGACAAAAGAGTCCCGAAGCGCCATTTCATGCTGGGTCAACTCCTGTGCCATTCGCTCCTTGATAAAGAAAATGTCCTTGGTGGCAGGCCAGAGTGCGTCTACCACATGGGATCCGCTGCTATCGAGGGCAAGCTCCTTCAAATGACTGGTAAATCGTGGGGCAAACTGTCGACGGAATTGAGTGGTAGATGTCGGAACTGTAAGAGCTTGTTGTATGACGCGAGATGCAGTAGGATCCTTGGCGATTTTAACGAGTGACTCCGAGGATTGCGCCAACAGACTCGAATAAATAAGTCCGCTGATCGGTCCAGGAGCAGTGAGCATTGTCTGTGCAAGTAGCGAACCATGGAGTTTTTCTCCTGTTAATGATTGGCTCGGAGCAATATTGGCTGCCTTCGGTTTCTGCTCTGACTCTTCGGGTTCCTCCTGGGTTGTGCTCTCAAGCCGCAAAATTTGTTCCAGTCTCCGAGCAGGGTCTTTATCGTAGGATTCCTCTAGTGCCCGAGCAAGGGGTGCTGTGTCAACTCCACGGACTAGACACCGCTCAATAAGCACCTTGGGAACGACCATCCTTGACCGCTCAAGAAGACTGGGGACCTGAGGAACAATTCGCTCCAAGGCTTGTTGGAGATCATCCTTTCCGAGTCTCTCCAGCACTCGAAGTACAACATAGCCGGCGGTGATATTGCGGGCAAATGAAGTGATTTGGTCGCGGATGAAATTCTTGTAAAGGCCCTTGAATGCCTTTCCGGGCATACAACGCACAATGGTCTCGAGTAACCGAGATCCAACTGGGTCATAGAGTAATCCGCGCACAAACGTTGTGGTCTCAGAACCCTCCTCAAAGCTCTCATCCGGAATTAGTCGTCTTGTTATAGAATTGGGATCCTTGGCACTCGATTTTCCGAAATGCGAGAGCTCCAGAAACACTAAGACTTGAAGTACTGGATTGCCAACAGGGTGAGTCGCAAGTGCTCTCAAATATGTATCATCAAGTACAGAGACCATGTCCTTCATAATCTTCTTCAAAGTAGCCTCGAACGCATCCGGTACGTTTCTTTTTTGCGCAGGGGCATCCCCATCCTGCGTCTCTCCCTGAAGTAGACCCAATTTCTCTTTCTTACGGCTTGCAATAACCGAGTCGTTCGCTGAAACGTCCACCGGTTCTCCCGCAAGCACAAGAAGCAAAACTCTGATTGTATGTGACGCAAATCGTTCTGTCAGTAGGTAACCCCAGTTGCCCTCCAATTCTTCGACCACCTTGATGAACATCTCCGCCAACGACAGTTCAGGCTCGAGCTCCTCTCCTTCCTCGTCTATATCCATTTTATCGCTTTTCGACTTCGAGGCCTTCTGCGTTATACCGGGTGCGGCATTGACAAAGAGAGTCTCACAGCAATGACTAGCAAACCGATGCTGCACAAGATTCAGGAAGTGACCGATGAATTTGTTAAACAGCCTGTGAATTTGGCGCATATCCGACATCGATATTAGTTTCTCCATAAGCCGTGAGCATCCCTGACTGCAAGCGATTTTCAACTCCTTCCCATCGGCCTCTCTATAGACACTGTCGACGAATATCCTCCGCTCCTCTGCATCCTGGAATTGGTTCAATTCCAAAACCTCGTTCGCTCGAGAGAAATACTCCTGTTCTTCGGGGTCGAGAAGACCATAAAAGGGCATATCACCCGCAGGCGCATCAATTTGATTCTCATCGTAGTTTCCGTCGTAGTTCTCACTGTAATTCTCGTCGAAAGGTATGTAGTCGGCTCCTTGATTGATTTCGTTCGCCTCGTCCGTCGAGGGCTTCAACCGTTTTGACAGCGAATCTTCGGGAGCTTCCTCTCGTTTCCGTTTCGCAGCATCTTTCTCGGCCTTTTCGGCCGCTCGGCGACCTCGCTTTTGGTTCTCACGAGGCATGATATGAGCGGTGGGGGATATTAAGTGGTTAAAAGAGAGAGGTTCTTATCCGGCCTTTGCGCTGGAAATTTTTGGGATAAGCGGTGGTCCAAGCGCCCTCTGCTCATCAACTAAGCATGTGTTTGTCCTGTTTGCCTGTCTTAATTTTCCCTTTTGGGTTAAATGTTTTTCTTGAATCGATTTCATTAGATGTAATAATGTACAGTAGTCGACTATTTAATTTGGTAATAATGGTAGTCATAATACAACAAAGAATCCAAGAAATTATTGAGTCAGATCATGTAGAAGAGTAGATTGCAGAGATGTGTCTCCCGCACTCCACGCGCTGCTCCATATTCACTGTGCGGGAGCCAACCTTTCCCTTGTGACGAGGCATGACCTGAAGCCGTGCCTCCTGCTCAGCAAGCTCTCCTTTATCTTCTGGAGGCGCGTTGATATGTGTTGGTTTGGATTGGTTGCTTCTCCTGCTCGTGCCAAGTTGAAAATGCTCGTTCCCTCCCCAAAAGAGCACATCGAACCCAAAATTGGTGGCATCGTTCAAAGACTTGCTAGGAGATGAATCGATATGAGCATCGTTGTTCATTACTGCTGATACGTGCGTCGTCCCCACTGATAGATCGCGAAGGCGAATAGGCGTCAGTTTCTTCCTCCGTTCGTCATACTCAAATAAACCACTCAAGGACTTGACCTTGGTAGGTGCGTCTTGCATATGAGTCCATTTTCCATTGCCAAGAGCACCCCAAATTCCTCTTCCGCATGTCCAGGTATCAGCCGTAATGCGGTCCAAATCGCGGATAGTGGAAGGGTCTTCACCAGGACCAACAATCCGTTGTGCATCCACCGTAAAGAAGCTGTTAGCACCACCGGCTGCAATTCCAGTCACCTTGGCAAACCAGATATTCCCCTTATAAAGCTTTTTGATGGGCACAGAGGTTGGGGTGTCACTAAAAGGCAGTGTGGCGTCAAATGCCATACCCAATTGCCCAAAGGAATTATCTCCAAAAGTAAATAAGTTACCATCCTTACTTAGAGCCAGGGAATGGTAGTCTCCAGTAGCAATTTGTGTAATCCTAGTGCCCCTGAATGCCTCAATCTCATGACACATGTCGACTGGCCCCTTAGGTCGGGTTGCCCAAGTCAGCCCTGGGACGCCAAGCTGTCCGAAAGATGGATAGCTCTCTGTAGAAGAAGCGACAGAGAAGACGCGACCGTGATTCGTCAAAAGAAGGGCATGCTCTAATCCGCCGCGGAGCATAGTGATCTTCTCACCTAGCTTCAAGCTAGGTTGCAGCAACCGGTAACTTACTCCAGATTTTCCAGACCAGAAAGGCACCCAGGAGCTTTCTTTAGGTTTTCGGCCGGACTGTTGATCATCCTTGGCAATTGGAAGAGAGTAAACACTGCCGTCTGATGACAAGGCGAGTATTCGATTATTTGACATGCAAAGCGAAGTCAAATTCTTTCCTGTCAAAGTCTTTGTGGGCTTAAAGTCGGACTCTGAATAGCCTTTACCCCACTGAATGAGGTCACCATTTTCAGAAATCGCTGCACCAGACTTGTCAGAAAGCTTAAGGTCTCTTAGCACCTGGCCGTCAAAAAAACGAAACCTCCGAGGGGCTTTGATAACAGTCTCCTTGGAGTTGGGGTCCACAACACGAGAGGAGTTCGTGCCCCATACATATACGCCAGGGCTTTTTAAGCTTCTTTTGTGTTGAACATACTGCGAGTCCAGTTTTTCAGTCGCTCGTGAGAGATCATGAGTCTTCAAGTCTGCCTGACTTCCGGCTTGATTCTTATCGAATGTCGCATAGGTGTAGACAAGGAAAGCAGCAGCGCCTGTTCCCGCAAGGCCTAGGGAAGTCTTAAGCCAACGTGAAGAGGACCCAGGCTGTTCAGATGCATGAGGACCATGACTAGCATAACCTCTTCTCCAAGTAATGGCGGCAGGCCGAGTACTCCTGGGAAGGCGACGTGAGACGGTGACAATGTTTGTCGCGGGTTGTCGCGCTCGAGATTTCCACATGATGTGTTAACGCTTTCTTCAATAAGCGCACATATCTTTTCGAGAGATATTGTATAAGAGTATGGGTTTGGTCAGGTTTTATCAGCAGCCTCCAATTGGTTTATTTATTGCGTCAAGTGGCGGAAGCGGAATGCGGCGGCAGAATAGCGTCTCGAAGCGGCCACGGAGATCACAGCGACCAATTGGTTCTTCTTTGTCAAGTTCCCATATGAGCTTAATTCTGGGAGTTTGGGCTCTCCTATAGAGGTATAGGCGCAATCCTGTATTCATCCCTTTACCCTTCGCTTTGGACCTCACAATGCGTCAAGAGAATGCGGGACGGCGATCTCGTCGGCAAACCGTCCCGTCCCGTCCGCCTCTAGAACTAACAGGCAGGGAGACCGAGGAAGCTGAGGCAGTACCAGATGGCCTGAAATCGATTGGGCACATTCATAATGAACTTGAGTTTGCCGAATGGTACAATGAGTTGGAAGACAGTTTGCTCGAGAGTAGCTACGATGAGTATCAGTAAGCGCCATGCCGCAAGCCATTGGGAGGAACCTAGGATATCCTGAAGCCTGACACGTCTTGTAATTAGAGCCTGCCTTCATGAGCTTCAGATGTCAAAGTCACATCTCGATACGCTACTATCTGATACATCATTAACCCTCGACCTCCTATCAAACCTGTCCAAAGACTTTAAAGCAGTAGAATCGCAGACGTCCAATTTTCAGAACCAGTGCGAAGGGCTCCTCTCTGCTCAGAAACGCGACTCAGAGCTAGCTACGAATATCCAAGATAACCTCCAGTACTATGACTTCCTGGATCCCGCTTCAAGGAAGCTTAACGCTCCGGGTGCTGGTAATACGGTTCGCGGTCAGGACTTCTCCGACATGCTAAGGCGGCTCGACGAATGCTTGGACTATATGGAAATACATGTCAGTACTTTATGGGCGCGTGAAATTTGTGAATTCGCTAATTTGTCTCTCACAGGCCGATCAGAAAGAGGCTAGTGTATATCGCTCCAGGTATAGACTCCTGATGACACGCGCCCTCACGCTCATTCGGGGACACTTTGTTTCTGCACTACGCAACGTATATTTGAGTGCCTCAAAAAAGATAGCAGATAAACAGCTCAACGATACTACTATGTCTGCTCTACTTTATGCAAAGTTCCGAGTTGGCGCTCCTGAGTTGAAGCAGATCGGCCTGGAGATCCAAAAGAGAGCAGTTCCCCCACTGGATCCTGAGCAAGGCACGGAAGCTGAATATCAGAGTCTTCTCAATGAGCTCCATGCCAATTACGCAGCTATACGTGGTAAATTGATTGTACCACTAGTGCGTAAGAAACTCAATGAGATTGCGCAGGCTCCAAGTACGTCGACGGATCTGGTTGCTTTCGCTCGTGGCAGTATCAGCTACATCCGCGGTGTATGTCTGGACGAATTTGACCTGTGGGGTGAATGGTTTCACGGACAGGGGGGCTTATACGACTTTCTGGAAACAATTTGTGAGCCTCTTTACGACCATCTTCAACCCAAAATCATACACGAAGATAAAATAATCAAACTCTGCCAACTTTGTGCTCTTCTTCAAACTCGTTATCTTTTCGACCAGGAGGAAGAGACCGAGCCCACAGACGTCAACCAACTCGACTTCTCTACATTGATTCAACCTGTGCTGGAGGACGTTCAGACTCGGCTCGTTTTCCGCACCCAGGCCTTCCTTCGCGACGAAATCGAACGGTACAAGCCTCGCCCCGATGACCTTGATTACCCTGCGCGCAATAGACAGGCTTCCATATCAGTTACGGATGGGCAAATCTCAGGCAGGAAAGTTACGGCTACTGATACTCTCTCAAACCTCCCCAAATCCACAAAGCAGCCCGAAGACGGCGTAGACTCTCCGTTAGAACAAGACTCAAAGTGGGACTTGGAGTCGCAGGTCTCGCCGAGCAACTGGTACCCAACATTACGGAAAGCCATCTGGCTTCTGAGTAGGATCTACCGCCTTGTAAATGTACGAAGGCTCCAACTCATCATGTTAATCAGATATCCTCAGTATGCTGACCATCTATCTGTTCATAGTCCACTGTATTTGATGATTTAGCGCATCAAATCGTCCACCAAACCAACATCTCTCTTCACCATGCGAGCTCCCTGATCGCCAGCAAATCCGTCACAGACAGCCATCTGTTTCTCATGAGCCACTTGCTCACCTTAAAACAGCAGATCGTCGCCTTTGACATCGAATACGTTGCCCCTGAAGTCTCATTCGACTTCTCAGGCGTCACAAACACATTCTGGGAATTACGAGAAAGGGGCGGTCTCTTCAACCCCCGTAATCTGATGCGCCTCGTCGGTCACGGCCTACTACCCCGAGTCGTAGAGAACATGCTGGACGCAAAAGTAGAGCTGGACGGACGACTCAGAACGGTGATCAACGATTTCATCAGCGGATTCGCCACCACGATGACGGCCTCCCTCCCGGCCAAGTTCGTCGATACCCGAAACCTGCAGCGCGGTGAGCTGATCTATCCTACATGTCGAAACATAGAGAAAGAAGTACCGAATCTCCGAACGATCCTCAGTGACTACCTTGACGATGTGCGTATGAAGGAAACATTAGTGGGTGCCGTCCAGGAACGTGTTATCCAGATATACGAAGAATTCTTCGACAAGTACATGTCTTCGGAAAAGAGCAAGGGAAAGTTCGTGAGTACCAAGGGCAAGGGTCGTGAAGATGCTGTATGGGATGTGGACACCTTTGCAGAGTGGTGTGAGAATATCTTCCGAGTTGGTATCTCTGATGCAGATGATGAAGCTACGAGCAGGAGCAGGAGCGGCAGCCTTGAATCTAGGAGTCGGTAGCTGACTTATCTTTTTTTGGATAAACATAAAGTTGCTGGATGTATATACGAAAATCTCTATATTGGAGACATATCCTCCTAATACCGTGTTCATATTGTCGCAACGCCTGCACCTAGACCTATACATGATTGTAACGTCACCCTACTCTTGATATCTAGAATCTACCGTACGTTTGTTAGAGGAAGGAAAAAAGTTCATGACAGCATCATTCATAGGTGGCAGATGTCAACATGAAGCTTATACAATGTCTTTCGCCTGAATTTATTCTTGTTGTTTTCTAAATTATGCTTAAAGTACTATCAAGCCAGTCATCATGAGAGGGAGCCTGGATATCATAATTCAATTGGCAGATCACCACTCCAATTAGAGTGGTTGCATTATGGTTCTCACAAGTATATACACACAACATTGTAAAGAAATACTGAATTGGGTATGATCAGCAAAGAACAGTACAGCCGAAAAATATATATACGCGCTCAATGACGATGCTTCAACTGGAAATATAATCTAGAGAACATGACGGATCTTTGCGTAGAGTTCAGTGTCGAGGAAGTTGTACTTCGGATCTGGTTCGCAGAATGGATGACGGGTGAGCAGAGTTTCAGCAGTCGGGCGATCGAGTGAATCACTAATTGACTCTTGTCAGTACAAATGTCCATTCATGCAAAGGTCGGGGTCACAGCAGGAAGCACTTACATAGTAAAGCAGTCATACATGAAAGCAAGCGCCGCTGGACTAATGTTCATGGATACATCCTCGGGGATCGGAGGCGCTTGACTTAGACTTCCAAGCTTGAATATAGCACCAATGGCTTCTTCCCTGCTCCATGGCCGTCGGCCTGCGAACATTTCCAGTACTACGCATCCAAGTGACCAGATATCCACCTTGGCGCTGTAGCCCTGGCCTTGAGATTGGATAACTTCTGGCGCCATCCAGAATACTGATCCCTGCATGGAATTTGTCGAGTCATTTCCATAGATGTTGTCTGACTTCTTAGAGATACCGAAATCAGAGATCTTACACGTTCCATCCAAATCTAGAAGAATATTGTCTGCTTTCAAGTCACGATGTAGGATTCCCTGATCATGAAGATAGGCCAGCCCGCTCAAGGTTTGCTGTGTAAGTGATTTCACGACACTCTCCTCAAACTTACCATGTTTGCGGAGACAACTGCCGATTGAGCCACCAGAAATATACTCGAGATAGATTGAGATAGACAACTCTCCCCGCTCACATCCAAGATATTGTACGATATTGGGATGCTCGAGGTGTTGCATCGTGTCGATCTCCTGGTCCATAGCGGCGACCATATCCCTCATCTTGTCCTTGTCTTGTCCAGCAATTCTAGGATTGATTTCCACCTGCTTAACAGCCAAGACTTCGCCATTATCCGCATTCATGCCCAGATAAACTCGGCCGTATGTGCCTTTGCCGATAAGCTGACCGCGAATAATGCGGAAGGTTGGTTGTCTTTGGGGTACACTTGTAGAAGGGGCATTGTTTTGAGGGATAGGATCGAGTTGGCTGAGCCGGCTTCCTGGTTTAGGGCTGATTTGCATAATCCTTGCTCCAAACATCTTCGTACTTTTGCGTCGGAGGATATCACCAGATTTTTGATTTCCTGTAGAGGATGTGACACTCCGGTTCCTGCTCGCTTGGTTGGCGCCCCTGGCAACTTCACGGATTGACTTCATTCGGGTAAGTCCGCCGGAGCGGTTGACATTGCGTCGAGCAACAATATTAGCCTCTTGTGGTTTGATAGTCGGCTCACTCGACCCTAAAGTGGATTCACTAGGGTTGGGAGGGGGCTGCGGCCTATCCTTTTGGCTCAGCTCACTCTCTGCAGCAACTCTGCTCGCTGGTGATGAGGGAGGGGACGCGCCTTGTCCATCTAAATAAGGCGCATCGAGATCAATATTGGGGAAGAAGTCATCTAGGTACTCAATGACACCTTCCACGGGAGGTCTGCTTGCCCAGATATCGCCTCGAGCGAAGGAATCCCTCCGAGGGGGCTTCTCTTCCTCAGGCGAAGCGGTCATATCGGAGAACGACCCTGTTCTAGGGTCTGGATCACCGCTTGAGCTTGCAAAGGTTTCGCGCGTGGCACTAGGTGATCTGAAGCTCACAGACAATCCCTTTCTCAACCTATTTTCGGTGTTTACAGTGAGCGAGGGCTTTGCTGATAACTTTTGACTAGCCGAAAAACCAGTTGCAGAATCCTTGTCCTTTGTCGGAGATTTGCTATTCGCTAATGGGATTGCGAAAAGGCCGTCATCTGAATCGTCGTCGTCTGAGTCGTCCTGTGGCATCGGCGAGCGTTGGAAGGAAACATTGGTTTCCTCAAAGTCAAACTCGGGTCCAAAAGACTTGCGAGACTGTACAGTTGGCCGTGACTCCTCAGGAACAGCAGTCTTAACAGGTGATTGATTGGTATGCGAGGTTGGAGTCTCTTGGCTGTCCTGGTCCGCAGGCGATTGTGAGGCGCTTTTTGATTCGTCTAATATGTTAGGTATTGACCAGTTGAGGGCATGCTGAGAATGGGTAAAGGGAACATAGGCGATAGCCGGGAATATGTATATAAAGCTTACCTGGGATATTACTTTCAGGTGGCGCCTCAATGCTGGCATGGTTATTTGTTCCAGCCTGTGACGTAGACACCGAAGGTGTCGGTGTTCCTATGGCACTAGTCATCCTACCAACACTAGCCAGAACCGCTCCAAGGCCATGGGTCTGGACAGGTTGTTGAACGCGGGGGCGATCAGCATCTTTCTTCCTTAGAGAATTAACTTTGGTGAGAGTATGGGATTCATGAGGCGCAGTGGGTGGTTTGCGAAGCGGTACAAGAGGCTCTGCCTTTTTGTCTTCGTAAGGAGATATACGAGGAGAATCGAAATCAATGACTCCTTCTCGTCTATAACCAGTCTCACCATAGGCATCCTTTCTCGGCTGTGGTACCGATGAGACTTTAGAAATCCGGTAGGCCTTCTGTTTCCTCTCGACCTCCCGCTGGTGTTCCTCATGGCGAGCTAATAGGTCTGCCTTATCCGGGTCAAGATGTCCAGCGTCCTGGCCACCATCCACTGGTGATGCCGTAACTGAAGTCTGCGATATATCACGGGTAGGTAGTTTAACAGCAGGGGTCCTTAGCTGTTGGCGTGATGCTACTTGCGGAGAAGTGGGTTTTGCAATCCTGTTCAGAGCCTCGTCATCCAGTGGTTTACGGTGTAGCTGATGTTGTCCACTTGTAGGTGACGCTGTATGCTTTTCGGGGAATGAGACTCCAAGGCCTGCAACGTGCGGAGAACTGCTCGCACCTGCATGCATATGTGATCCTCGTACAAAAAATTTCAAAGAACCAAACGAATCTGACTTCGTCTTCCGATAGAGAGTCAGGCCGGGGTCATTCAAGGCTTCATCGTGCTCTATCTGGCCCGGCTCGGTCAAGAAAATCTGAGCGCTAGTCCAATCAGATATCCCAAGGTTCTGGCAGATAGTGGCCCGTAGCATCTCCACGGATTCCGTTTCAGTAATATCCACTAAACGATAATTCCATCCATCCAAGGTCGCAAAGGCCCACTTTCTCCCTTTGCTACCAGACTTTGCTCGTAAGGCGAGCCGCTCATGGTCTGAAACAGACGAGGACGGTGGACGTTCACCCAGCGACATGTCGCTACTGCTGAAATTCGGCTTGGTGTAAGGGAGATGTGAAGCATTCTGACGCATGTTCACTGGACTAGTGGGGGACTCCAGAAATTGCTCCTCCGGGGACGGGTGGTTAGAATCGCCGGTTTTGGATCTCTTTTTGAAGAAATGCAAAAGGCGATTACTATGGTCTTTTGAGTAAGATGAGGGATTGTCCCCACTCAATTGACGGTTGTAGGGGTCTTGAGGCGACGGACGGGTATTATCCTGTCGTATTGATTCGTAGTATCGCCGGCCTATGGTCGAGTCTGAACTGTTGCCACGAGAATGCTCGAATCGGACCCCCAAGTCACCTGTGGATGACGATGCGCCCTGATGGGCGAGAGTGGCATGTTGTGTAGCCGGGCTACCACTCTTGGGGCTGCCCTCGTATGGTCGAGCAGCGGGGAAAAAATGGCCACCATCACTAGAAACAGAGGGGCTCTGCCTTCGGTGGTCACCAGCGATACTAGATAGCGCAGCTCGTGAGATGTCTGACCGAGTCCAGTTTGTGCCATCGTTCGAGATAGGCTCTGATGACAGGTGATCATGGCTAGCAGGAATTGGCGTCGTAAAAGAACGCGTTTGCACGCTTTGCCTCTGCGTATACACAGGCTGTAGTGTTTTGAGGTTGGGACTGTTTGTTGCGGGGCCCGCAGACAAAGGTTCATGTGTAAGCATGGGAGAAGTATCCAAAATACCCTCTGGAGCACTGCCCGGTAGTGTCTGCGAGTCGCGTTGTTTCGGGATAGGTATCCCGGCATCATACCCCCCATCCTCCTGGATTTGGCGGATTAGCTTGCGCATCCGTTTACCTTCCTCCCGTTCGCGAGTCTGATCCCATCCTGTCCCACTACTTTCGCATTCTTTCGCGAGCTGAGGATATACAACGTTATGCAGTTTACCCAAGTTCGGTCGGCCATTTAAACCATGACCTAGTTCAATAAAATCAGCTCCTTGAAGCTCGAGGGCCTTGAAAGTTTCTTGCCAGTCCTTGGAAAACCCATTCTTCGCGAGCCACAGTAAGACTCTTTCGAGTGGCCACTGAGCAGCAGCCTCACTAGGCGACATGCCACCAGGTAAGGTGTTGCTGTTATTGTGCCGATGACTTGATGACTTTGTAAGTTCTGTAGTTTGCCCATGGTTCGGTAATTGCTCGTGGGCACCGTCATTAGCTGCTAGAGCCGAAGGGACGGTGCGGGCTGACGGTGTAGGTGGAATAGTTCCATCCCGTTTGTATGCAGAATCTGGACTAGGATACTCGTACAATTGGCTCACTTGGGATCTTTGTCGGTCGCTGCCTACCAGCGTTGCTTGGTTTTCATATGCGGAGAGAGTGTGCGAGTCGAATGCAGGAATTCCAACACCTGGACCGAAAGTGCCAGGTTGCGGGACGTAAGTTGCAGATGTACGGCCTTCACCAGAAGGGATCGACAAAGGTGTTCGGTTGTAGAGTTGTTGGTTCGCGGGGACCAAGGGGGGAGGTGGAGGAGGAGGCAGGTAGCCTTGAGACAGTGCTTGCCTTGCCGCCCAGTTCTGCTGCCATCCAATAGTGTTCGGAGCTTGTACTTGTGGATTGGTTATCTTCGCGGCGCCGTATGCTGTTCCTGGAGGTGGGCCGGGAGGAGGTGGAGGGACTACCCCTTGAGCTTGTGCCGGCTGATATCTCGGAGGGGGAGGAGGTAGTAGTATGTGCGACTGAGAGGCCTGCGCCGAGGGAGGCGGCTGAACCGGAATATACTGTTGCTGCCGCTGTCCGTCCATGATATCAGTCTTCCGGATACCAATGCTATAGGGTACACAATGCAGTCAAGAGACCCCGAGTATTCTCCGCAGCTGCCTGATCCTCTTCCCGTACACCCTTTCCTGAAGCCTGACAAACGTGATCCCAGAAATTTATGGCATGGAATTAAAACTCATCATCGGCGCTCAGCACTGTTCCGGTGGAGGAATAGTCTGTAACGGCTTTCGCTGTAGGCGCGCGGATACTCGAGGAACAAAGTCTTGCTTTTAGAGGAAGGATGGTATTGGGTAAAAATAAAACATCTCCGTCCGTGTTTATCAATCAATAATTTGACTCTATGTCCCAAGCAGTACCCAGTGTCTTCAGGTAATTATCCACAAATGGTGTTACAGACAGTAAGCTGGCGCTGTTGACTTCGAGGTTTACTCTTGATTGCGCGGATGACGTGGGAAGCAATTCAGAGAACTCCAAAGGCGCGATGGGAATGAGGTGAAGCATTTATTGGCGGGCAAAGAAAAAAAATATATATATTGTCTTAAGCAGCTAAGTGTGAATAAGTAAGCAATAGCTTCGAAAAGGTGCGTTGATCAGCCCCTGATCGTAGTAGGCATGCTAGTCTCATCGCAGGGGGAGGGGGGTAAATCGGAATGGCCGACGGGGGAGAGATAAAACATACCACAGCCACTTAATATTAAATTGCTGAGAGAAGAGCGATAGTTCGCTCCCCGACTGGATGGATGACAGCTGGTCAAATCTTGGCGCCACGAAGAGTTATTACCGGAGCTTCTCAGCTTGGGTCGAAATGCGCTCTCACAATCACGGTCGGGGTCATCAATCAATCGAGGCCCGGCCGAATGTTTTAACGGGTGAGAGTTTAATTAATGAGAGAAACGCCAGAGCTTCTGACGCCAAATCACGTGGCAGATAAGCACCCTGTTTTAGTTTCTGTCCCTTTGTCCACAATACTTCATTCTACTTTACTTTATTTTACCAAAAATTGATCCTTATCCTTATTCCTTTGGTTTGGCCTGCTTTTGATTTCCCCCTTTAATTCTAGAATCCAGTCTTCCATGAATGCCGCCTTTTCTGAAACAGCGTTTGATTACTGTTCCTCAATTTTCCCGCGGAAGAATTACACACTATAAGCTTGTCTCAAGTCAGTGGAGGATGTGATAGGCAAGAGATTGAGACATGTTGTTCAGTAAATCTCGTTTAGAGACAAACTAGTGATGTTTGGGGTCTATAGCGCACGAGAACACCTCACCAGAACTACTCCTTTTCTCCACTTTTAACTGTTGAACGTTCCTTTCAGCCTTACAGCGGTCCCTTAGTCCAGCTAGCCACCACTTTCTTTCCTGAGCAGCACTTGAACAAAGCTTGTTCAACCACCTCCGTACACCCGAGACTCTGGTTTTTTTTTTTTTTTTTTTTTTTTTTTTTTTTTTTTTTTTTTTTTTTTTTTTTTTTTTTTTTTTTTTTTTTTTTTTTTTTTAAAGGAAGGTTTAATTCATTGTTATCTAATCAA